TGGTTGACCGACGCAGGTAATCTGTCCCGCCCTGATCAGGCTTAACAGACCCTTGGTCCTTGGTCATGCTTGCGTTGACCATTGTTAATAGGTTCGCCATCAAGAGTTGCTGGGCCCGGAAGTCTGCCGCAGTAAGGGAGTCTGGTGCCAGATCAGGGGAAGGGCTTATGTCCTCGCCGGCCTGATCAGGACTCCCTTTGTACTGCCGATAGCCTGAGCTTGGGTCCTTGCCCTCGCTTCTCTTGGTGGTTCCGAAGTTGGGAATCCCAGGACCGGTCTCAGACTCAGTGTCCACATTGTCGTCAGGGCCTCGGTAACTCTGGAAAGCTTCACCGGCGAATGAGGCTGCCTGATCAGTCAGACCTCCGAGCTGCCCCGTGTCGGTCGTTGATGGGGTCGGCTCAGACATGTTGCTGATATCCTGGCAGGCCAGTTGTGGGAAGTGTAAATGGTATCGATCACTCTGAATTGATCTTGGGGTGCTGCGCGTAAAATCTCTTCGGAGTTGCTGCCTGGCCCAGTCTGTCAACCTGATCAGACTTGGGAGCAGTATTTCATATGTTCTTATAAGGCATTGGTTTACTGCGTCCTTGATTGAGTTTCCAAAGGGGGTGCTCGTCAAGTCCAGGCCAATCCTAAAGGAACGTTGAATTTCCATTGCTGCCGATCCATCAACGCTGAGACGTTTAGTCTCCGTTAATAGCGCAATGTCGAACCTGATCAGACCGAGGCTTGCATGATAACAAGATCTCGAGAAGTTCTGGGCTTGGTTCGTGGTCGTGATCATTCCGTAACCTACGCTGAGAGAGCTTCTTAGCTCACTGATCCCAGCAGAAGGTATCATTCTTATCTTATCGTTTTTCTTCTTCCTCTCACGTCTTGCGGGCTCCTTTCTCCGATTGGGCTTGCTCAGTGCTTGCCCACAAAAGGATCGCCCACGCGGAAGGTTTGTCTGGCCGTATTGTGTCGTCATGGCTGGTCGTTCGTTTCTTTGCTTTTTCGAAGAATCCCGCTTTTCTTGGGTCTTGTCCATTGCGGTTTCTCAGGGTCAGGCTCACTCCCACGTCTGGGACTGAGTCTGATCAGGTCGAGGATATCGTTTCCTTCATATCTTTTCGATGATATGTTCTGTTGGTTGAAGCTATTTTCGAGGTACTGATATCGGATTTGTCGCGTAATCGAAATAAAACAATGAGAAGATCGGCGGTTCGATTCCGCCACGAGGCACCATTGAAACTGCGTGGGATAAAGGAAGCCAGCAAGTGGGCAGTTGACACACAAACCACACCAAACACCAAGGTCCCAGTATCGTCACGAGTGCACCTGGAGTGACCGATTACCCCAAGTGACTACCCCAACGCCTAGACCGTGAGATACTACTCTTTTCAGGTCCTCCTTGGCCTGATCAGGGCCATGAGCAAACCAGAAAAGTGTATCCTTCACGTCTTGCAGTCTGTTCGGATTTGCCCTTGTTGCTAAGTGGTACGCATGTGTGTGTCGTGATCTCTGGAGGAGGAGGATACCCTCCTAGACCTTAGAGGTCTAGTCAGGCCTAAGGAAACAAAGCAACAGTCACTTATTACACGTCTTGTTTAGATATCAAAGTGATGAATTCGTCCGTGTCTGTCTAAGTGCCTGTCTAAAGATGTCAAGCTTCTCTGTCTGCTTCGTGATGAGATCCCGATCTCTGTGATAGTATCTGACTAGAGCCCCCTTTTGTACTTGGAAGGGTCCTGCTTAGTCACATCTGATCAGGCCTGTGATTGTGTCTGCAGGCTGATAAAAGGAAAAATGAAAACGCGAAACCCTGCCCCTTTCCACTATTTACTATCTAATACTTTAAAGCACTATATTATTAGTAGACCTTCTTTTTTTAGCTACAAGTTATCCTTTTAACTACTACTTACTACTACTATTACTCTACTTATATAGCCTTAGTTATTTACTTCTTATATACCTCTTTTATATTATTAAAAATAATACTTAATATAAATAAGTAGCTTAGCTTAATAGCTTACTAGGCCTAGCTTCTTTATTACTATGTTACTAGTTTCTTATTATAGTCTTTAATATAACTTTGTTAATACTTATAGTTAAGAGCTCCCTTATTAATTACTTCTTTAATTACCTTAAATCTTTTTTTTTAAAAAAGTATTTTATAAGCTACTATATTTCTTCTCTATATAGTTAATAGTAAGTATAGCTTTATTAAAGTAATTATTATATAATAAAAAACATATAAAGTAAAATAATATATTAGCTTTATTTTACTATATTCTTTTTATTAACTAGGCTAATATAATATTATCTCTAATAGGCTAAATACCTGATTTTTCAAACCCTCTTATAATATTCATAGCTATAAAAGTAATATTAGTTATATTAGTAAAGGTAATAACAAAGTTACCTTTTATAAATATAAAGTTATTATCTTATATATAGTTATAAAGCATCTTTTACTAGGTACTCTTAAATAGCTAAAAGACCTTAATATCTATTAGCTAAAAAAAGTGTATTATATAAAGTAAAAAAAAACCTAAAATAATATTAAAGTTAATATAATACTTTATAAGCTCTATACTAATATAACTAATAAACTTATCTAATAGAAGTAAATAATATAACTACTTTAACTTCTTAATAATATCTTAATAGTTATAGTATTATTAGTATACTTTACTTAGCTCCTTATTAAGTAAATATAAGTTATAGTTATAATAGCTATATATATTAACGCTAAAATAGTCTTTAAGTAAATAGCTTATATAATAATACTTTACTAACCTTATATATAACTTAGTATTAAAGTACTATATATAGTTTATTATAACCTCTTAGTTTAAAAAGCTAATTAATAAATACATAAAGTAGACATTTTCTTAGACCTAATAATCTACTTAAGTAGTAACTAGCTACATTTTAAAGATTAGATATCTTAGTATACTATTACTAGTAGCATTATTATATCTAATAAGTATACATAACTTTTAATTTATAAGATTAATAACCTCTAATAAGCAGTTATATTTCAATAGCCACTAAAGCAGTATTACGTATATCCAGCTACTAAGGCAGCTAATCCAGCACTTGGACTTATTAGCGTTCCAGATATCAGAAGGGCCAAGGTCATACTCCCATACAATTACCCAGTACTAAGCAAAGAAGTCCTCTATCAAGGCCAGATCCAGCTCCACTCCCTTCTAGTATAGCTCAACCAGCTTAATAGCAGACTTCTTCTAAAGCTCCAGGTAGTTAGCAAGCCAAGTGCAGACAAAGTGTTCTAAGACGGGGTAAATACCCTAGAGGTCACAGAGATAATTAGCCGTTTCCTTGACCTGTATTAGCAAGGCTAGGAAGCCAGCTTCAGCAAGCTATATAACAAAGGCCACAAGAGCCGCGTCTTCGGCGTCCGTTAACGCCCAGGGCCAGCCAAGGGTAGCTAGTAGGCTTACCCGGAGGTTACGGCTAGCCCAAAGGGCCTAGAGATACTGGTAAATAGACGTATTAGATACGCTATACTGCTGGGCAATTTCGCGGATAGATATAGTAGATATCTGCTTGCCAGCCCGATTAAAGTAGCTAGCCTGTTACTAGGCGGCAAATACCACTTTGGTGGCCTTTTTGGCAGTAGTTATATTCTTGTTATATTAGCGGGGCATATTGACTGTGTTAGATAAGGATAGTTGGTTTAAATAGTGTTGATATTTGTTAATAAAATGTTTGAATAATTGATTGTTTTGGTGAGAATATAATAAAAGTCAGGACAAAGTGGGGACAGGCTATAACCCCCTTTTCCTGCTGCAACCCCCCTTTTTTTGCCCCCTCCGTGAGGAGGGGTGTTTAGCTCTGCGCGGCGCTGACTAACACCCCCGGGTAATACAGTATTTTCCCAGCACAGTTGAACTCCCAAGCCATGTGTCTGACTGAATTAAAGGAACGATGTGGCATCTAGCTAGACACGACTTGCTCGTCTAAACAGAATGTTTCATTCTGCTGTGGGACACGATTGTCCCCACCAGGCTTAAAAACTGTAATTGGATATTAATCGTCTATTGCGCTGCCTAACGTAGCTAGTGCCATCAATCCTCTGCGAGTCCGGCTCATGCGTCATGATTCTATCTTTTCCTCTGCTCCACTGTCCTAGCGGACTTCGAGGCCGTATCTCATAGAACGCCCCAAAATCTTCTACCTCATGCTTCTCATCAATCACCGCTCCATTCGTCTTGTTTCCCTGAAAGTGATTGTCCTCATTCGCCCTTCATGTCGAAGCCGTCGAACCTAAGGCCGCCAGGAAAGTCTTTGAGGGTCCCTACACGACCCATAGGTATAGTTCGTGTAGGTTATGAGGTGGGAGCTTAAGTCATAGACAGTAGAGTCCTCATTGCTGGTCTGATGTCTGGCTTGGTAATTTTAGGAAAGTCTTTAGTTGGGGCTCTCTAGAATTACACAACAGCATATGTGACAGTAAATTCAACCCCTGAACAGCCACTAAGCGAAAATCAACGGCACTAAACGTTCTGAAGATTTTGTTTGAATACAATGGAGGATATTAGTTCGCCAAACAGCTATCCGGCAGCGTAGTGGTAATACAATATGTTCCTAATGCGATCTTCTAGGTTCTATCTCTAGGTAGGGCTTTGCGCCCATTCGTAAAGATGTGTTTCCTGTAATTCACTGACTGCTGGTAGAATACATCCTTCACAATTGGGAGATGTAGTAAGTAATCATGTAATCTATAATCCCTGCTGTCAGTTCATTCATGCCACAAAGCTTCAAAGCGTGTCGTTGGCCAAATATTGCAGGTATGGCGCAGACGTTCGTCTCACGCATCAATTGCATACTGTTCATATTTGACTCGGCAATGATTCATGTTCGCTCCCGTTTTACCCATCTACTGTACAAACTCCTGTGGGATACATGCTGTTCATCTATACGTTTCTGTTTTTTAAAACACGATCCCTAGTTGTGTACATTGATTCAGGCCGTTTATCATGGGTTCATTACCAAGCTTCCCACATCTGTGATCCTATAGCCACCAAACGGTTGAATAGCTCATCTCTGGAGATGATTGCTGTGAGATGGTGCTCTTCGCCCATGCTATCCGTCACAATGAGACCATCTGCGATCTCGCGATCTGTGGCCCAACCGACAAGTATCTTAGACTTCCATCCAAGCCCGCCCATTTTGCGGATTTGCTACGACAGGATAAGCTGCAGTACATGTCGTGAATAGAAACTTTGAACACTTACCTCGATATCTCCAATAGTGACAGTCCAAGTTGGATTCAGATCATCTGAATCGGTTGTCCAGCTCAGAGCAGGGGTAGTGGCCGTAGCTGTGATAAATGCGCGACCTTTCTTACCCTTCCACCGGGCTGGGAAGGAGATAGGCCCCTTGGCAGGATCGGGCTCCGTCTTGACCACTCCAAGCCTGTCCTTTGCGTGTTTTGCGCCCACCTTGGCCTTGACTTTATCTGCGGCGAGAGAAGTGTTGATACCGCCCTTCGCAGTGCTCTTGATGAAGTTTAGGAGTCTGTGACCCTTCTTCTGTTTATGCTCATCGGTCTGAGATTCGGCGGGTGCAAGGGCGTTCGGGTCGGGCTGGATAGCTTGATCTATTTCGGCTTGATCGACGCCTCGTAAGTTTGTGAGTGGATGCACATGACAAAGAAAACAGGGTTGGGCATACCGAGGTGCTCGAGACCCTCCCCAGCGGTTGCATGGGGCACATCAGGCGGTGGTTCAGAGGTTGCAGGAGGCGGTGGAAGCGGCGCCTTGTTTCTCTCACCGATGCGTAGCAGCGTGAGGGTAAGCTGGGCATTGGTAGGAATGCCCTTGAGAATGGTGTTTCGCAATTCAACGTACTTCTTCCAATGAGGGTAGGTACTGGACATACTTTAGATACGCGAGTGATTAATGTCGAAAGAAAAACTGACCGGTTGATAAACACCAGGCCTCTTTGGATGATCGGGTCACCAAAGAAGGTGAAACCAACCATGAATCCGGATCCCTTGACCAGCATGTACGATGTCGTGAAGAGCGAAGCAAGGAGCATTGGCAGCAAAATACTGGCAAGAATGAGCCGAGGTCGCTGTTGTGGGAATGGCGGCGTTGGGCTGAGGGCGTTGCCGAAGCGCTCCCATGTGTCGACAAACTGTGTCTGTTAGCAAAGGGCAAGCTTAACAGTGTTTGTAGTGAAACTTACGTCCGCAATTCCATGCATAACAGGCCTCGCCTTTGTCCAGACGGATTCATGAACAGGTTTCTTGGTCTTGTCGTGATGAACGCTAGGCTCATTGCCGCCCGTTTTATCTTTGGCATTGACAACATCTTGGGCAATGTTAGTAGGGTCAGGGGCAACAGTGTCATCATGGGGATCGCCTTGGGGGTGTTTTCCTGCCGCCGTGCTAACGATCAGCGAGGAAATGCTGTTGACGAAACTATGAGCTTCTTGTTCCACGGCTTCTCCAGCATGCTTCTCTGGAGCGCCTGTTATAGAGTCGTCCGACGCCAGGACACCAGATGCAGGTTTCTTGACGCCGCCCGTCTTGCTGTCGATAAGAGAGGGCGGGGCAGGAGGGAAACAAAAGTCTCGTGCTTCGGGGACGAGAACAAGAACAATGAGGAAGCTAACAAGGACTGGCACGACAAAATCCAGGACCCAGGCGACGGAGTAGACTGCGAGGAAGGTCGATGTGCGTCTTGACTCACGCCATGACCGAAGACGGACGATTTGTTTCCAGAAGGAGAAGAGACCAACTGCGACTGTCATGTACAGGCGCTCGACGTGGGCGCGGAGCTTATCAGGCGAAAATTCCTCTTCATCTGCGATATTCATATCAAGGTTGGCGAGCTGTACAATTGTCAGATGCTTGTATACCCAGTATGCTTAGACGGACTTACAGGTGGTTCCGATATCGACTTGACATGAAAAATTTGCTGAGCGACTCCTTAGTATCTGTTGCCAAGGAGGATTCGTTCTACAATTGCGAGTGATTCCGCATGTCCTACCTTGTCGAATCGACGGACCAGGATCCAAAGTTCCTCATTTGTCAACCCGCCAATCATGGGCTGAGAAACCTTGCTCGGCGGGTTGTTCCATCCCAAGTTCTTCACCTCCACATCCGCATGCTGAAGCTCGGCATGTCCCTTCTCCTCGAGCGGCTTCTCCTTGGTGGCCATATCAGCCAGGTGATGGCTGTCTGTCGGTCTCTCTTCTTCGTGCGCCTCCACGATTTCGGGCTCCTGACCCATCGTCGACTGGCTGGAGTAGCCATAGCTGGACTGACTAGGGGGTGTGTCTATACCGGCATCCGATCCAACGAGCGGCGGAGGTGGTGCAGCTGTCGGTGGCGGTGGAGGCGGAGGTTGTGAAGCCATGTCGTCGGTATCGGTACTAGGTCTCCCCTTCAACATGATTGTTGTTGTTGTTGTTGTTGTTGTGCATGTGTGCAAGACGAGAACTTGTAGATTGTTGAGGCAAGTTGATTTTCTGAGGCGGGGAGCTCCTTGGCTATGAGGTCTTGGAGCTTTAGGCGAAATTGTAGCTCAGACACATGGAAATCATGGATTTTTTCCTCTTTGGAGGGCTCATGGAAGCTGCAGCTGGAAAAGCAACCGCCGCCGACGTCAACTGCGTTTTTGACATACTGCTTGCCGCATTGGGTAATGGATGCATGACGTCACGGGTCGTCGGCGCACCGATTGGGCGCACCAGCAGGAAGATCGCGGTGATCGCACACGGAAGATCTCCACATGGATGAGCTAGGCGACTAGCAATGACACCAGTTTACCGGATGATTGGGTGGTTTTGCGGCGCGTCTTCTGCGTTCTCATAGCCACTTCGGCAGCGGGTTGCCTGTCTCGTGTAGAAAGGGAGGGGAGAGGAGCGTTCCGGACCAGTCGATCAGTGAGTCTCTCGGTCATCGTCAAAGCTCGATAAAATTCGATCATTGGTCAATCGACAACCTGTTTCCCTCGTGTTGTCTCACGTTGGTTTACGCGGTTGTTTGGGCTGCTGCACGCGTGAATCATTTCCTCGACGTCTTTCTAAGTTGAAAGGGTCTCGCTACGTATCTCACCGAAAGTTGCACACCTCTCATATCTGAACGGATAGGAGTTCATCCAGCCTTTTTTCATCTCTGCAACCCAAATCTCGTCTCAATTCTTGAACATGACGCAAGGTCTCTGAACTCTGACAATGCTTTGACAGGCAGGGCAGGTGGGACACATGCATCTAGAAACCAACATTACGCATGGTCTTTAGCAATACCCTCCCTCCTTTACCAAACCAACGGTGAGTGTGTTTAGATTTAAAGATGATCGTCAGTGAACTTGTGTTTCCTAAACCGCCGGTGATTGCGGCTCGACCTAACGAAGCCACTGCCGCTTTTCCCGATACGTTGCACGGCTTAGCGGCAACGGTCAACCCTGCGGCATTCAGCCTCTGCTCAATAGGAAATCATTCGCATTGATGCATTTCTACTCCAGGGTTTATGGCCATTTTGACCAATTGCGGTATCTATTGACAATTGATTTAAATTTATCACCGGAAGGGTGGCCGAGTTGGTTATGGCGCCAGGTTAAGGTCAGCTTAACATCTGTTTCCTGGTGGGGCAACCCGCGCGAGTTCGAGTCTCGTCCCTTTCACTTTTGGAGTTTTGATGCCAGACCTTATTGCAACGCGACATCGGGATGGAAAGCCGTTTAAAGCTCAATGAGAAGGGAAATGCCGCCAGCGTCTGTTCGGATATGAATTCCCATGCTGGTTGGAACTGGAAAGTGATATATTTACCACACCATTCCCAAATGCGTGCTTACACACGACAAGCAATGGACCAGCGAATAGTCACTACCTATGTAGCAATATACCGGAAACCTTTCAATAGGTGTTTCCATTAAAGTCAAAGGCATTACACTATTCAGGAGCTATGCGTCAAAATCATGATATGCAACTATTACATCGCTGCATTTAGTATCCCTGCCACCAAGTATAGTTGTTTGTCTGCTCAGCAGTATCCCAGACCAAGGGGACGCTAGTATCCTCGGGTCTCTCTGGCCACGCCTTGGCAAGGCCGGACCAAGCCTTCACGTCCTTCCACGTCGCCTTGATGCCAGCGGGCGCCGCCGCGTCACCAGAAAAGAAGCTCAGACCAGTGCTGTCATTGCGCGAGGGGTAGATGCGTGCCGTCAGCGCAAAGCGCTCGTTGACCCAGATCTCAAGCAGGGAGCCGTCCAAAACAACATGGAAGTTGAGCTCCTCCGTAGCAGTGGCGTTGCTGGCCTTGTCACGGATCTCGTAGGGCTCGAAGTGGCCGACGAAGCTGTCGTTGTTGAAATTGGGGAGCAGACTGCTGTGGTCGCGAAGGACGCTGATCTGCGAGGTAGCCGGGTCGAAGACGATGGTGGTGTACTCGGCATTGTCGGGGCTTTGGCCGACGATGATGCCAGCCGGGCCGCTGAAGCCGCTAAGGGTCGCCGTCAGCTCGTAGGAGGTGCCGATGTTGGCGGAAACGGACTTGGCGGCGTCGGTGAGCTCGCCAACCTGGAAGTCGTGGACCTCAGCGCCAACACGGAGAAGCTCAAGAACGTCGGACAGGGGGCGGATTCCGAGAGTCTGTGCGGTGGCGCCGTTGCAGCTTTCGATACAGAAACTGCCGTCTTGCTGCGTACCGCAGTTCTGGACGCCCTTAGTCTCCTTGATATACAGCTCCATGGGCAGATTCATAGATCCCATGTAGCCAAACTGCTTAGAGGTATCAAATGCATAGTCGGACAGAATGTCGTCGTTAGCCCATCCCCACATGATGCGGCGACCGTTGTTGCGGGTGTCGAGCCAAGTGGCTTGGGCATATGAGATACCCCAGTCCAAGGCAGCGCCAGAGTGGGGGGTGAACTCAACGGAGCCGTTGTCGCGGCGCGCAACGTCTCCGCGATTCCAGAGAGCCCACTGCTCTTTCCAGTGCTGGGTGGTGTTGCCGCCCTCAGCTCCCATGGTAACAAACCAAGCCTTCTCCTCGGTCTCGCCAATGGGGAGATCGAAGAAGCTGCTGACCTCGAAGTTGTAACCGTAGGATCCGGTAACGTCGGGCTTGCCTAGGGACGAGTTGGCCACAGGCTCCCACAGGGCTCCGAGGAAAGTCCACTGGGTCAAGTTGGAGGCGGGCGCAGAGTAGAGCGGGATACGGGGCCCGATGAAGCCGGGGCGTGCGGCGCCGGGCAGCTGGGCGGGAACCTCTCCGGTCTTGAGGCCGGACCCGAGTACCATGTAGTAGTGGGGCTCGCTGACCTGAAGGAGGCTGTCAAGGTCCGTGGAGGGGAAGAAGCTCGGGTCTCTCCACCCAGTGACATTCCAACCCTCAGGAGGACCGGAAATAACAGTGCCAACCTCTTCCCAGGTAGTACCACCATCAGCAGAGGTGTACATGGCTTGCACTTCAGTGCCAGTGATGTACGGCTGCTTCCAGTTGGTGGGCAGTGCGTGGATGCCGGTACCGAAAGTCAGAAGAGTGCCATCGTTCACACCTTCAATGTTGACCGGCTGGGTCGTGCCGGTGAATTGTGAAAGAGGACCGGCAGCGTACTTGCCAGAGGCGAGGGAAACGGACGAGTCGTTGGCCCAGTCGCCGACGTCAGTCCAATGGAACAGGTCCTTGGAGACGGCATGGCCCCAGGAGATGTTGCCCCAGTTCACGTGGTTGGGGTGGAACTGGTAGTGCAAGTGGTATGTCTCGGTGGCCGGATCATAGACCGCACCGCAAGGGTCGTTCATCCAGCTATGCGGCGAGAGGTAGTGAGAGCGAGGCCTCCAGCGGGTGAAGAGAGAGCTGTTGCCTGCCGTCGCGAGGTACTCGGGCGTGAGGGTCGCCGGAACGGCCGCGGACGTAGGGACGGCGATGGCCGCGAGAGAAGCAATGGCCGTGAAGACGGCACTGCCCTTGAGAACTGCCATGGTGTCTGAAGTATGCCGGTGAACACGCCGCTTGAACTCAGAGACAGCTGGAACGTAGGCACGCGAGGAGTTCATCTTATATACTGGGCGATCAGACGGATCCGACTGGACCGGGGAACTGTCATTCGGGCTCCCAATACGACGTCAGCCAGGGGAGAGCCAAGGAACCATCTCCGCTAGCAGACCATGAATATCTAGTCATGATCCCTGTGACCGTGCTATTGAGGCTCCGGCGGGGACAATCATGACGACAAGATAGTGGGCGAGCCAGAGAACAGTAGAACGGACTGGGGAAGTTTCTTGGACTGACTTTGCGGGCCGAAAGAACATTCGACCAGTCGGCACACGGGGTCGGGACTGGAGAGACAGGCGTGTGGGAACGCCGGGATTCGGGTTGGGGGCACGAGTAAACGCGGGGCGGCCAGGGCGTGTGCTAGTGTAGCAATTTGCAAAAGTCAACAAATGCGCTACCGAACCCCAGCAGCAACGAGTTAGCGGCAGATTGGCCCTCAAGTAGGTAGAGAGGAAAATGCGGGAGATGCGGAGGCGCGGGGGTTTGGCCGCGGAATCGTTCGCTGAAACTCATCATCGACTTCGGGAAAACGCGACAGACAAAACGGTCTGGGCCAACTGGCCATCGAGTCCCGTAAGTTCAAGTCTGGTACATGGACAACTTCGCCCGTACGTGGCCGGCATCACTACTCCGCTGGCCTGGCTCGCTTCTTGGGTCAACACTTGAGTGGCTCGGTGGGATTTAGACGTGGTGATAGAGTCGTAGTGCATCGCGTCCGTGCAGTAGCCATGCAGTACATACTACACTGGGGAGAAAAAGCGTGGTGAACATGGGCAGAAACCACAGTGTTGGCGCATGACCCGTGGGGATTGGTAATTTCGCCGGTACTTTGCTCGCTGTTACTATGCGTGGCAGGACAAGGTTGAAGGGCCGATAGTATCACCAGCACCGCCTCGCCGCCATAGGAAATGGGGCTTCTCACAATCTTGATCTGGAGGACTGGGACAAGGCTACCTTTGGGGATTATCGTCCGTGGATCCCAAGAGGTTCACAGCTCTCCCTCTGCCTTGAGCAACATGGCAAAACCACCCGTTCGGGTCGTTTCTGGCAACTTTGGTCCAAGCTTCCTGGGTTCGGACGACTTCCATTGTGGGGGCCGTGCAACCATTCTGCGGAGGATGTGAAATAACTTTGCGGAGGCAAATGTGGGGAAGCAAATTGGAAAGACAGAGTCAGTTGGGGTCATGAGGAGCGTCAGAATCTTTCTAGAAAGTAATCCAAAGCTCTGAGAGGTCGACAGCCTTTTCTATTCTCGCTCAAACGGAAAGACCGTGCCCTCGGCCATCAGAACCGACCGACTGGTGGGCTCGTAAGGTAAGTCTCCGTCAGGACATTGCGATGACGCTGCCACTGTTATGAACAAACTAACGGCTCGGTGGCAGCGAAAGAAGGTTTACGATTGCCGCTGTTCCTGTTTTCCCTCTTGCCCACCTGCAACGTCGCATGATCAATCCGTGCAAGTTGATCCCCAGAGTCTGGGCCGGCGATCAATGGGGATGCCACTCGTCACCTTTCACCGACCCCAAACGCTGCCGTCCCATAGCACGCATTCATGGGCCCGAAATCACTATGTGTCTCAGGAAGGGCCCGCGGTGCGGGTCCCGAAAGAGATGCTATCATAGACCACTTTCAGAAATAACAGCCTGGCGAGAAAACAGTACCAAAATCAGCGATTGTTTGATGTGAGTAAGTTTCGCGATAAAACACCAGACCTCGTCAACTCCGGTTCGTTCGCCAAATTCTTGTCTTCATCTGTGCAAGTAGCATCTGCTCCACCTTGCAATTCAAGCTGGAACGACATTAGCCACTACGTGCAAGCCCTTCTGAGTGGTCGCGATTTTTATCAGTATGTTTTCCAACGCTTAGCGCCATCTTTCCTGTATCAAACATCCGAAACTATCAACGGAGCGATGTACGCAGACAATGCCATATATTGACTTGGACTTTTCGAGTGATAAGCTCACGATGTCTGCGTACACAAATCGCCCCACTCTCACGATAGCGGCTGCTGGAGAAGCCTACGCCAACGTCTGTGGTAATGTCTGAACGGAACCGCGAAGCGCATCAAATCATTGGTGGCGGATCCAAATAGGGAAGAGTATGTTTATCATGTCTTTGAGACCAAGTCAATTGGGCAGGCTGAAAGAAGATTAGCGGACTCCCATAAGCAGTTTGTCAATAAGCTGTCTCGGCTTTGTGTAGATGTCGTGGCCACGGTCCAGGAAACGTGGGTCAGCGCAGCTCCGATTATAACTCAGGGTCCTTATGTTTGAAGAATAACATTAACATATGGTTGCAGTCGATGTGATCAGTAGAAAGTTCGAAGAATGAAACGCCTTTGATGATTACTTGGTCATGGTTACGATGCATATCCATTGTTGATTGAGTTCATCCTGGAGCAGGACTCGATTCATATTTCTGAGCAATGACAACTGATCAATTTAAGTCATGGTCATTTATAGTACCGGCCAGGGTGACCCGAGACCTGAAAGAGTGGGGCCAAGCTTTCCAGCAAGAAACGGAAAATAAACCCAAGCAAGCACCGCAAAGGTAGAACCTTGGATTTGTAAACGATAAAAATCCTTTGAATGGCTTGTACAGGTTAGACCAGGGGGATATTTTGCACATCCACTTTACTCACAGTAACCGCACTGATCTCCTCCAGCATTAGGAGGTGCTTTTCCAAACACGAAGCCGTTTATTCAATGCAAATTTGAGTTGGCGAATGGCCGGAGCCTCCCCAGTACGCCATGCATTTGCACCCATGCTGGGATGGTTGCTGGTCATGTGCACAGGATAAGCGGTCCACCAGGCTGCTACGAAGACAACGTGATATGAAGAACCAGTGTAAGATGTGGTTGAAAATAGTAATCATAGTGGCCCATGTCTACAATATATATGCGGTTGATATAGCCGCGTGCTTTGAAGCCAAGATTCTGTCTGCAAAGACCCATTCGCACCCAATGGACTAACTAACGTCGTTCTCTCGCCTAGCAAGACTAAAGTAATTATATTGCACCAGTCTGGTCATCGCAGAACAGCTATCTTCTGTCATTAGTCGTTGGATTCGGCAATATTTGGGCTCTACGCTTACATATGTCTTAACGATTAGACGGGGCCACTTTGATACGCCCTGATACGAGCCAGCTTGTCGTACATACGCTTAATGCCTTCAGCAGCAGTACTAGTAGCCTTCATTTGGCTAGGAAAGCTAGAAGAATTTCCCGCCTGGTAAACAAAGGTGTTCCGCGCCCCGACATCGGGGAGCAACAGTGAAGGGTTTCCCGATATCCAATTCTAATATAACGCAACCCCAACAACCCCACCATCGCTTGGCTTTCTGCTCCAATTGCTGTGATCGTCCTTTACCACTTCCCCTGCAACCTTCGGGTCTGATCGGCATTCTCAACTTTCGATTGGTCCAACTGATGCATATGTGCCCTGGAAGACTGTCGGGTTGTCGGGTTAATGGAGGCGAGGGCACCGGTTCGGGAGCCATTATTCCAGTCATCTCCAGTCCTTCTTAGACGGCGCTGTTCCCCAGATTTTACCCCCGCACCAATGGTCCCAGTGCGGGACGGCAGAAGATCTTTGCGGGGGATAAGAGCGGAATTCGAGGGTAGACCTCGTTTCCACCCGGAATCTTCCTTCTGATTCTTTATCCTTCTTTGCTTGCAACTCGCTCCTGAGCTGCAAATATTGATAGCTTTAATTTTGCAACTTTCGTCAACTTTATTTGACTTTAGACGTGATTTGCCAGCCCAGATATTCATCTTCTTTGCGCATGCAAACTTCTTTCTGCTACGTCCGACACCTGAGGGAACCTGTGGGTGAAGGTCGCAAAAGATGGGAGGGCTTCGTGCGGTCGAAGATCGGCCTACGCCAAAGGAGGTCTACAACTGGCGCCTCTATATCGAGTCTTCCATTATTGCCATGGGATCACTCCTGTGGGTATCCTTGATTTTGTTGAGATCATCCGAGAGATTGAAGTAATTCTCGTGGGATATGGATGTACTGATCTTTACCCGACAGGTTCGGATATGACTCGGCCTTTATCGGAACGACGATTGCACGCAGAAGTTTCGTGAACGACTTTGGCATCACTCCGGATACGTCAAAGGAGATATCTTCCAACATTACTTCAGCTTTCCAGGCTGGCGCATTGGGCGGCGCCCTTATGTGTTTTTTTAGTTGGACTCCCTTTTCGTTCAGATGCCGATCTCGGAACTAACACAACCCCTCACAGTCACTGAACATGTTGGCCGGAAGTGGGCACTCATCATCAGCAATCTTGTCTTCCTCGCCGGTGCTATCCCCATGGTAGCGGCCACGAACAATCTTGCATCCATGTACGCTGGTCGAGCCCTGACCGGCTGGGGCTGTGGTGTTATCACAGCAACTGTTCCTTCCTACATTGCCGAGCTGTCTGTTCCCTCAATCAGAGGTATTCTAACTGGTCTCTTCGAGGTCACGTATCAAACGGGTTCCCTAATTGGTTTTTGGATCAACTACGGCATCAACCAGAACATGGATCCTATGAGCTCTGCGTCTTGGCGTTTACCAATGGCCGTCCAGCTGATTCCGTCAGGTGCCTTGCTAGCCGGCGGGTTCCTTCTACATGAGTCGCCTCTTTGGCTATATCGTAAAGACAGAGAGGAAGAGGCACAGAAAAACCTTGTCGCGCTGCGACACCTACCAATCGACCACCAATACATGAAGGAGGAAGTCGACATGATCCGGGCTCGGTTGGCCGAAGAAGTTTCCGTCGCGGCAACGTACGGTGGCGGTTTCTACGCCTACATCCGAGGGTCCTTGCATGAACTATCACGTAAGGGCATGTGGAACCGTTTGCTCCTCGTGTTCTGCGCGTTCGCTCTGCAGAACATGTCCGGTGCTGCTGGTGAGTATCTTTTTACACTAGTATTGTGAAGTCGGGCTAATTCAATAACTTCCCAATGTAAAAGCCATTAACTACTACTCACCTATGCTTTTCGGCTCTATTGGTATCACCGATGTGGCCTTGTACACCGGCATCTATGGTCTTGTGAAGGCCGTTGCGTCCATCATTTTCTATGGTGCACTTATCGATATTTGGGGCCGTCGCAGACCTACCATCATTTCTTCCTTGGCCTGCTGCCTTTGCCTATGGTTCGTTGGCGCTTATGTCAAGGTCGCGAACCCGGCGCCAGTAATCGCAGCTGGGGGAAAGCTTTCCGCCTCAACCGAGGCGGGAGGCCGGGCTGCAACTGCGGCTATAATGATCTATTCTGTTTTGTAAGCCGAGCCCTCACAATCATGATATGATGATTAGGGGGGTTACTGACTTTTCACAGCTGGTCATTCGGTCTCAACGGCATTCCTTGGATCGTCTCAGCCGAAATCTTCCCAGGCGCCCTTCGCAACCTAACCGGAACGTTCGCAGCTTTTACACAATGGCTGATCCAGTTCATCATTACGAAGGCCCTGCCATACATTTTCAGCAGTCTCGACTACGGTGTTTGGTTTTTCTTTGCCTGCTGGATGCTAACGGCTACCGTCTGGGCCTATTTCTTCTTGCCGGAGACGAAAGGTGTCACAATCGACCAAATGGACCTTCTCTTGTGCGTCTTTTTCTGGCATGACCCTCTTCTAATTATGATTTAGCGGTACTAATTTTCTTATTGTAGCGGTTACGAAGGCGATCGCCGAGCACATAACTCTCCTCCAAAGACGGATGACGCAAAGAGCATGGAGCACGACGTTCATGAATTGGACCATACAACCCAGACTTGATAGTAAAGTATGACAGAACTAGCAACTCGATTCACTTGTTGTCACGTGAAGAGTTACAATGACGGCCTTGTGGTGATGTCTTGCTTCGTTGCTTGAAAGCCTGATATTTTCGTAAACTCATTCTAACCCCAAACATGCTGTTATGCTTCATAGAATGTTGAGCTCTGGGCGTCATAGCCAGTTTTTCTAACATAGTACGGACTTGTACGATATCACTGGCGTTCCCTTTCGATTATCACATCAGTATTCTTAACCACTGTCTGTTGGGCACTTTGATGATAGTATTTTAGAAGCTGCGCTCGCTTTGAGTGGCACTAAGAATTCTACGGCCGAGATGGTTACAGGACTTACTTATGCCTACCTAATGCATGAAGGCTGTGTGCTATATCATAATTTACGAAAGTTTCTGAGAAAAAGCATTTTGCGATTATTATTCACTCGGTTTCCTTTGTACGCCAGAAATTGAACAAAGTCCCACCTTGACGTACGTATGTGACTTTGTAGAAGACAGAGAGCACGATTCGGCATGTACTTGCTGTTTTCTCTGTTATCAATTCTGGAACATAACGGATGATATACGCAGCCCGCTAAATCTCGTGGCGTAAACGTAAAGACAGGGAAGTGTGGGAGAGGCGTGCATGTCCTTAAATCCAGCACTCTCTGGGAAGAAATTCTGCGATACCATCTTCTAGATCCATCTATAGTAGTTACTAGAGCAGATCCTGCGGTGTTCAGTCAAGTTTTATTAGATTTCGGCCCAGTATATTGAGGGCAATGTCAAGGAAGACAATGGCTGTTAGTTCTCGTATGATTCAAGGGGTGGAATCTAAATCGTGAGAAGAAATGGGAGTCACACGCACATCTTCGGTGTAGACTTATCAACCAGTACATCAACATAGAATAGGCTTGAAGGGTAAGGCTCAGACCTAGATCGAGGAAACCAACTCCAGTCGAACCGTTTTTGCACGTGAACATTAGGGGTTTGCCTCCAAGGTGTCAAAGGCTTTCATTGCCTTCTCTATCCGGGTCTGGCATATCTCCAGTGTTGGTCCTATGCAAGGGTTATATCATGCTTGTGTTGATTTCTCATCCGATAGAACGCATCCAAATGGCCCTTTGCAGGAAGATTTGTACATTAGCTTGCTGCACTCCTCCAAGCATAGGTGTTGGGATATCGGCTTCGGGAAGTGTAAGAGTTACCAGTACACCAACGTATTCGCACCTTGTGACAACAGTAATATTCGCTTGTTTGTTTCCCAGAACCATTGGCAAAAAAGTAGTCTAGACTTGTTCCGTTAGGCACTGGCCACGACTTTGGCGGCAGCCGGGAGCATATGCCCCGCCGCCCCGTCGACCGGTCCCGTCACCGAGCGTGGGGGCCACATGGCAATGTCAGCCACCACGTGTCAAGTATGATTAGCCTAGACACATTCCGGAGCATGTTGCTTAGGGCATCTTCGGAGTGATAGGTTTGCGCTTGGCAGCGTCTTGGAGGCAGTTCTGTCTGCCTTGGCCTCACAACCTGCTCGTCCGGGTAATGGTCTTACTTTGAGGCTATGTGCTATGACTTGGCTGCATTGAAGGAATTGTGTCCTGACCTAACAGCTAGGTCACTGGGATCCCGACGCTGAATGAAATTCAGCCCATCGCGTCCTCTACGACAGATGCGCCGCTGTGTACACCTGAGTCTCAACTCGAGGTGCAACCTACAATGGCACGCGGTCAAAATGGCACGGTAGGTCTTAAGTAGAACGCCCTTGAACAAGAGCATGGCATGGTCAAAAGTGCCTGATCGGACCAGAGATGGCTGATTTCGAGGCCACCACCCAGACGGAAAAACCAAGAGCATAGAATAGCTACCCGAAACGGGAACGCCACCAAAATCGACCCGCAGGGCATCATGTCTTGGCGCCATCGCGCCGTTGCGCATCGTGCTCGAATTCCGGCTCCGGATTGGCTGCCGCTTTTTCGACGTCGCCAAGCGATTCGTCCACATCAGCTGTGCAGTGCAGCTCTCTGCCAATTTCTCGCATCACTGCTTCCACGAATTCGATACCGAGCCCTGTTGCCGCTGCTGCTGACTGCTTCGCCCGGGAAACTAAGCAAGCCGCCTCCAGCACCTGCGGGAGGGGCGGGCCTGAACTGACATTCTTTGCGGCTATCCCATCCCCGTTGCATCCGCGGGGCCCGCCCCCTCGGCCCACCATCGACATCAAGGGCTGGCTAAGAATCCCATCCGCCCTTTCATCGACGTCGTGCCCACCCCGTGCTCGAACATCAATGCAATCAGGCTGGCTCCCATCCACTCACACGATACCGTGCCCAGGACCTACCAACCTGGACGCCCGGGGCAACTTGACTTGTCCTCTCTCACCGAGCCATCCTTTAGCAGTTCCTGATACAACCCCCCAGATCCTTGAGGCAATGCGTAGGGATCACCTTCTTCAGGACCAGCCCTAATTTGATCCCGGCTTACGGCAACTGGCGCAGCAGTATGGTTGGATCCTATTATAACTGATCCCCAACCCCGGAGCCTCCTCACATGGCTACTGCATCCACAGCTGTCCCATGCTTCCGTGAATCGTGTCCTGGCTTCCAACTCTTCGGATCGCCAATCACTATATCGCTCTTACGTGACTCAGATACCCTCATCGCCCACAGCATGAGGGCGAATTAATCCGAGCACCATGTCCGTGGGACTGGTCTCCGTCACCGAAGATCCCGGACCCGACGACGACAACCCTACCGAAAACCAAACCACCGTGCCCCGTCACCCCTCCGTTCCCAGCACCGAGCCGGTCGAGCCATAATGGCGGCTGTGCTACACCAATATGACTACATCTTCGCCATCACCACCATCTTCTCCTTCCTCGATGCCTGGAACATTGGTAGGTGCCCCGGTCACCCCCCCTCCCGCCTCTCCGTCAGAGGGTGCCTTTGCCAGAGGTTGCGACTAACAGACTACGCCCCAGGCGCCAACGATGTCGCAAACTCTTTCGCGACGTCCGTCTCCTCCCGCTCCCTCACAATGAAGCAGGCCATGGCCATTGCCGCCATAGCCGAGTTCTCCGGCTCCGTCTCAGTCGGCTCCCGCGTCACCGACACCCTGCGCAACAAAATCATCGACCCGCACCTTTACGACGCGCAGCCGAGCGTCCTGCTGCTGGTCATGATGTGCGCCATCTTTGGCTCCTCCGTGTTCCTCAGCATCGCCACCCGCAACGGCCTGCCCGTCAGCACGACACACTCCATCATCGGCGGGCTGGTCGGCGCCGCGACGGCCTCGGTGGGGATCCGGAAGGTGAGCTGGGGCTGGGACGGCGTGTCGCAGGTCTTTGCAGCGTGGGTCGTCGCGCCGGGGTTGTCTGGCGTCCTGGGGGCGGTGTTGTTCCTGGGGACCAAAAAATTCGTGCTGACCAAGACGAACGCGGTGAGGAATGCGTTTTATACCATTCCGTTTTACACCTTTCTCACCTTTGGCGCTTTGACGAGTGAGCCCCGTCCACCCCCCCTCCTACAGTACTCTGTGACTCCGGCTGACTGTATGCAGTGCTCGTGGCGTGGAAAGGTGTTCAGCTCCAAGTCGAACCCACCACCACGCAAGTCCTCATCGCCGTCTTCTCCGTCGCCATGGGCGCCACGTTACTCCAGGCCTTTTTCCTCCTGCCGTACCTCTGGAGGAAGATCGTCAACGAGGACTGGCAGCTGGAGTGGACTATGATGTGGAGGGGCCCCTGGCTGCTCAACCGGCCGCCGCCGCCTCCGCCCCCAGAGGGGGTCCAAAGGGTGAACATCAAGGACTACTACCGCGGCCACCTGACCGCCGACGAGCTCGCCTACGTTCGCGCTTCTGAGGTCCTCCTCGAATCGATCCAGAGCAGCCACACGCCCTCGGACCTCTTCAAAGACGACACCCCCATCGTCGCACCGCCGGCCCTGTCTTTCCCGGAAACTCCGGTGACGTCGACAATCTGCGACTCCCGCCGCACCTCCGAGGACCTCATCCCACCCCGCCCCGCGGGACCCTGGACCAGCCTTCCCGTCCTAGGCTGGCGCATCAACCGCGTCCTGCTCCGCGGCCTCGAGCAGGATGTCATTACCCTCCAGAGGCGCAACGCCGTGCTGTCCTGGGACATTGCCGACATGCACGCCCGCGCGCCGCACTACGACAACCGCGCCGAGTACATGTACAGCTCGCTGCAGATCCTCACGGCGTCGGCGGCGAGCTTCATCCACGGCGCAAACGACGTGTCCAACAGCATCGGCCCGTTCGCGACCGCCTACGACATCTGGCGCACGGGCAAGGTTGAGACGTACGTCGGCGTGCCCATCTGGATCCTGTGCTTCGGCGGCGGGGCCATCGTGTTGGGACTACTGACGTACGGATACCACGTCATGCGGAACCTGGGGAACAGGCTGACGCTAATCAGCCCGTCGCGGGGATTCTGTATGGAGCTCGCGAGCGCAATCACAGTCATGATGGCCACCAAGCTGGCGCTACCGGTGTCGACGACGCAGTGCATCGCTGGTGCGACGGTGGGTGTTGGGCTGGCGAACGGAGACTGGAGGTGCATCAACCCGAGGCTTGTGGCGTGGATTTATTTCGGGTGGTTCATCACCGTCCCGGTGACGGGACTGCTGTCCGGGTCTCTAATGGCTCTCATACTCAATGCTCCCCATTGGGAGAACAACGGCGCATGAGCAATCGCGCGGGACTTGCGTATATGACGACCAAACTGACGTCGGCCGGCACGGTAGAAATGACACGATTGGATATGTAGAGATACCCATTTGGATTTGGTTTGGATTCTTTAGCGTGGGAGTTGGAGGCACTGAACATCGTTTCAAGGTAATAATAAGAAAAGAGAACCACAAGAGCCCATTGTCACATCTGTGGCTGGCTTGTTCGGTCATCATGCTCATTACGTTCAGTGCAAGGCAAAGACTCGCATGTCCAAAACCTTGGGCGGATCTTTCAGAGGCCAGCCCGTGTAGTCGTCGACGTAGCCCTCCCCGACGACATCAAAGTGCGAGATCAATACGTCGCCTTGCTCAGGCACCCTCCAAAACTCTTCACCGTTCTGGTCTGCTACAGAGATCACCCCGTGTTCAGGCTGCCGCAGTGCCCGCAACAGAGCGCGCTCAACTTCTTCCTGCACCAGCCCACCCACTTGACGCAAGACGACGGCAGTCTCGCTGCCCGCCAAATACACAATGTGGTCGCCCGGCATGGCGGACCGGGGCGCGACGCCGAATTTCCCGCTTCGAGTGAAGAAGAGACATCTGTTGTCAAGCTGAGAATGGCTCCTTGCCCCCTCGAAATGCCCGTACAAAAGTCTGATGAGCCCCCTGGTGCCTGAGCCCACGAACTCGCGTTGTTTCTTTGCTTGGGTCGATGTCCACCTGGCAAATGATCTGGCGAAATCAACTTGCTCAAGCGTCGTCTCGCGGGACTTCTCTCCGCGGTCTCCAAAGCATCGTGCCCATGTACTACCAATGATGCTACAGAGTGCCTCGTGCTTCGCTTCGCTTCCTCTGAGCGGGACATGCCGGTAAGAACCAAACTTGTCCCCGGACGCGTAGGCATTTCGGTATATGCTGAAAAGTTCCGTTTTGGCTTGCTGATACTCCACGGTGAGGTACAAAGACTGGTTTTTGGGAGGCATGCCACGTAGGCTTTCAATCGTGTCCACTTCGTATATGGCCTAGCACCAGCGGAAGGTTACCGTACGTAAAGGCATGGTGTATGCCTTTCAGTTTCATCTGACTCAAGTGGTTGTCCTTGTACATGGGAACCGTATAGGAAGCACCGCGAGTCCAGTCTGGTGCCCACGAGGGGGCCTGTCCACTGCCAGATGTCTGTTTTCTTTCAACGGTCCAACGAGATGGGTAGACTTGATGTCAGTAAATGACATCACTTTCTCGACGCCGAATTGGTCAAACATGTAGCGAGCAACTTTGCTAAACGTCTCCGCTAATGATATTGAATAGTCAACTTTGAGGTATCTATTGACGACGGCGAGGTCACTGATGATGCCAAAGTTGGCGTAGACAAAGTCGCGCGGATCCGTAGCTCCGAGGCCCCGGCGGGCTTGGATGGCGAGATGAAGCGGGAGGCGAGCATTGTTGGCCCGGCTGGAGTTCATGTCCGCCAAAACGCGCAGCGCCTCATCGCCGTCATGAGGACTGCGCGAGTTGCCCGCTGCATTGCCGAGAAGGTGACGACAGAAGTCGTTCCAGCGAATTCGTCTGTTGCCACATTGCACCCAAGGGTCTTTCGAAAGAACGAGTTCCTGGAGCACCCAAACGCGCTTGAACCACGGCTTGGCAAGAAGGCCCCGCCTGGTTTCGGCGGCGATTCCACCAGGACCGCCTTCGGAGGCGTCGGAAGTCGATTCACGGGGAAAAGCAGAAACACCAGACAGTTCGGGGGTGAGATTGCCAAGGTGGATAACGGTGCTGTGCGCGGTCGAGTAGATGCGCCCCATCAAGCTCACCTGCGCGTTGCGCTCCGCAACATTCAACTGGTCAATGCAAAAAGCGTCGGCCCATACCCTGCGGACGCGCGTGGCGTCGCGCAAGTCCCGTAGAGCGTCATCAAGGGAAGTGGTGATGGCAAATAGATTGCCATTATGGCCGTCAAGGCAGATGCGACATAGCTTTTCGGCACTCCCCCATACGTAAGACAGGGCTGTGTAGGGGTCGATCAGATCGTAGTCACAGGCGGCGAGGGTGGTGTTGAGTAGGGATCCCCTGAGCTCAGCGGCGCGAGAGGCGGAGGGTTCAAGGAGGAGCAGCCTGAATGCGTCCGGGGATGTTAGCGGCTCGTATCTGTGCTGAGACTGATACGCGGACATGACGGACTGGAGCGAGTCGGGGACCCGGGGTCCTCTGGGCACCCCGTCGATGTCGGTCCGATGCGGCTCGCGGTCAACTGTCCGGATCCGAGTGATTAGAGGTTCTGGACTGGGCTTTTTGCTTTGTGGGAAGGGGGATGGATGACGGATGCTATTTTGGCAAACATCTGTTGTAATGCAATGCGAGATCAAAGTTTGCCAATGTGACCGCGTAGTGCCGGTTCCGACGGATGGTTGTCCTTGTCTATGTCCAAGATGCGAGCGAAATTTTGAGGCAAAACAAAACAAACTTGGTGTCTGTCTGGTCTGAATCGGGATCTGACTTGAACCTTTCGTCCAATGCCGCCGCGACCGGATGGCAAGAGTCTGACTCCACGTGACTCGGACGACGGCTGACGTTTCTAAGCCGAGTCAGCCATTGAGTTTCATGGCATCCTTCCTTCCCGTCTCTGGGAAAAATTTTCACAGCTCTGTGGTGGGCAGATGAATCGACTCGGGTCTTGGAAGCATTTGGGACTAATTCGGGAGCATTTTGAGGTTTGCGATTCGCGTTGCCAAGGGCAGACGCTTCGACCGTGTCGTGACGTTATATGTGTGTGGGAGGGAAAATTCAACGGCCAGCAACAGTGGCGAACGAAACAAGATGAAACCTTAGTCAGCAGGTCGAGAGTCAGGACGGCGTTCAAGGCGACAGGACAGAGTCGGCAGGTCGGAAGCGAAAATGGTCAGGGGATAATCCGAGGGAGAGCCAGGGGAAAGCGAGTTTATCCGATTGGCCCAAAGAGAAAGCTCGGGGCAATGGCCGGGAGCCTATCAAAACGGTACCGACTGGGGCGCCAGGGTCCCTGATCGCCATCTGCTCGGTGTTGAATCTCAATCGAACGGGTCCAGACCCAGCAAACGCGTTTAGCGTCGTATCGCGCATGCGAACCGTGGATGCTAAACCCCCCGGGGGGTAAAGCGCAGCTGCCACCAGCTGAACTTGGCCGTCTCCTCACGGCGCCCCTCCCCCCACTTGAGCCGAATTGGATATGATGCAGTAGGAATAGGTTCGACAGCGATGAGGAGGCCTGGTGAGGAAAGCTGTGATGAGACATGCCAACCTGTGAGGGGGCTGATGGGTGGGTATGACCTAAGAGCTGCCAGGAAAAGCAGCCATGCCCCTTTCTGCTAGTCTCCGCCATTGCGTATAGGCACCCTCCTCGACAGACATCACGCGTATCGCATTCGTGCATCACCATCCCAGTTTGCACCAGCAGCATCTGCAAGCCGCCCATTTGGATCGTCTTTGGATGTTCCTGCAAGAGTCCACATTTCGTTTGATGGTCATCCAAGTTGCCTTTGGGGGTCGAAGGACTGGGCAATCAACAATGCGAATGACGCTGTGCCCCCTTTAATTCCTCACAGTCTTGTCGTGCACAGAGCACTGTGAGGCGCAGCTAGATGAGAGAGAGATCGCCATTTCGAACCACTTTTCCCAGACTCCTCCTATTCTTGGGGGACTGCGCTTTGGAGACACAGCGACGGAGTAGCAGGTTAGACCGTGTGTCCAGTCCCCGATTCACCGTTGGGTTGGCCTCCTCCAGCCCAGCCCAGCCCGCGGGCTCTTCCGCCCAGTCGTTGTGGCGTCCGTCTCCTTTGCCGTCATTTTCCCATCATTTGCCCGTGGATTGCCTCCAGTATGGCCCCTCAATTGCAACCATGTCACCGTGCCACTAACGGTCTCGAACATGGATACGGGATATTACGTACGCGGCCTTGATACGGGTACCTACATCTGGGTGACCATAGGGGGCGAGTGGTACGCGAGGTACGTACCTTTGGACTTTTGGAGAGCGCCCCCCAGTCCTTAACCGCGCCTGTTAAGTGGGGTTCGAGAGCGAGAGAGACAGCTGCTGGGATAACAAGCATGGAAGCTGTTCCAACCTATTCTTCTCTTGCATTTCTTGCTGCAGCAGGGCGTCACCGGCTGGAACCTGGGTCGGAATGCCGATTCAGCAGACTTCGGCTAAGGCTGAGAGTAAGCCGAAAGTTCTGCGAAGTTGGAAGCCTTCTGGAAAGGAGAAGGCTGCTGCGGAGGAACGTGCCGGAGAACGGGAAAGGGACTGCTACTGGAAACAACGAAAGATTGGACGCCAATGTTTGGAGTGTGTGGTGTGGTGCGAGTGTGGGTGTTGCTCGTCTTGATTTGTCTCGTAGTAAGACTGCCAGAAAGTTAATCCGGGATGAGCAAAGTCACCCAACTTTACCGCGCAACTGCGTAACCGCCTTGCCCTGCCGACTGAGACGACAAACACTAGGTTAGCGAACCATTACACACAGCACGTTACAAGGAGCGAAAGAGTCGGCTTTTTCTTGTTCAATTCCCTTCCCCCCCCTCTCCAACGGAAACGATCCATGGCAATTGGCCTTGGCAGCCACACACTGTTTCTCTTGACATGTCCGCGCCCATCTCGCGTATCCCTCCCATGGTCCATCTACACAGTGACTGCTCGCCCGCCCACCCAGCCTAGATGCTTTTCCGCCTGGGAGGAGATATTGTGGGGTCGTTGCGAGGCGCAGTCGGTGACGCCAAGAATGCCCGTTCCGTTGGACCAAAGGTGTAGACAAGGCACAAGACGGACAAGCACTTTTGAGGTGTCCTTGTTCGGTTTCCCACATTATCTGACCAACAAACGTCGTCAAGCTTCCCATCTACCACGCACGTCCACGTTTTCTAATGGAAACCGTCGTCGCCCCGTCGCCCGCCTTTCCGCCCTTTGACAGACGCCCCCCCTCAACCCCTAAGCGGGCCCCCAGCACCATTTGCACGTCCAGCCTCGGGCTAATTTCGTCTGGTGCTCCAACAGCTCGGCTCGCTAAATGAGCTACCAGCGCCGCGTTGGTGCATCCTCGGAGGGGGAGGTAGGGGACCAAGGATCCGCGTACCGTAGCCGACGAAAACGTCCTAGCCTCTTTTTTCATGTGCCAGAGTCTGGAGAGTCGGGTAGCCCGTTGGCCTCGTCGTCAAACCACGGCACGCGCGAAGGACGGTAGCGCACAGTAGGTGGTTACCTAGGCCAAGGACGACATGTGAGTCGATGGGAAACTCCGTCGACAGCCAACGGCCAGCCGCGACGACAACCAACAGCGATTCTGCAATCCAACACAGGCACCAACGGGCCAAGACTCCAATCAGGTTTGGACGCCATGTCTTGAGTGTGTTCTACAGAAGTAGGCTTGGCTTGGCTTGGATTGGATCCCAGAACATGCTCCTCCGTCCGTGGCGTGGCGTGGCCCAGGTCCCCGCCCCTCCAGCCAGCGAGCTTAAGCCCATTTCCAGAAACATTCTCCCTTTCCCGCCAGACCTGGCTGATACCAGACGGGGCTGGTCCTGACTTGGATTGGCTTTTTCCCGACATGAGTTGACTCGACCCTGCAGGAGATTCGGTCGTTCGATAGTCGGTGATGGGCGTTCCCGGGCTGCACATCCACGACCACCACGACCACCACGACCAAGAGTCGCTTGCCATATCCAGTGCACCGCTGAAAATTGAGTTTCAAGGGTCCTGGGTCCGCGTCCCACCTGTTCTCCAGTCTTTTCGTCGCTCCAGACGCGTGTCGTGACTCTTGCCAACTTTTGGGAAGGCAACACCTGGGCAGGACCCTCTTTCCTGGCACCGCGGACACCCGAGGAAAAGCTTGGAGAATGGGGCAGGAACGACGGCGACGCACCCGCGCACACAGCTTCGGACCTGCTCAATCAATCAAATTGCTCAACTAATTAACCAAGAGGGCAAGCAACTAGTCAGATCCCTCCCGTCCTCCCTCTCCATTCGTCCGTACCAAGTCAGGGAAAGGAAGGAGGGGAGGAAGCAGGCGGGGATATCAAAGCAAGATACCAAAAAAATAAAATAAAATAAAAAATCAATCCAAAATAAAAAAAGCCCCTGGTCGCGGTATCCAGATACGCGCAACGCACCCGCGCATGAATCGAGGACCCCAAAATTCATGGTTTCAGTCTTTCAGGGTCCTGTCAAGGTCCCAAAATCCCGCCCGGTGCAATCAGATAAGCTCCAGCACCGGCTTTTTTTTGGCCGTTTCCTTTCTCTCTCTCGCTACCCGTCCGTCAGTGCTGTAACTTGTCGCACTCCCGTAGCTCATCCCTCCGTCCCACGCCCATTCACCCATCCCACCATTCCACCCGAATGCGCCGAGCCACCACTCCATGTCACGGTTTGGTTGGACGGGACTTCGCTCCGAAGCGAAGCTACCTTAGCTTGCCTCTGCAAAACCTCCTTTCCTCCTCTCTGCCTCATTCTCCAAAGGGGCGAAACAGCATAGGGAAACGCAATACCTACCTAGCACGAGCAGCAACGCAACAAAAACTGCGCCCCCGGGGCTAGCGAACAGCGCCGACGGCCAAATGACTGCATCGGACCAGGGGAAACAAGATTGGCACACCCAAGGGAGGGGGGTCCTCTCTTGTCCTCTGCCCCATCCACACACCCATGCACGCACACACTCACACGCGCTGCCCGGGTTCTTCGTCTTAGCTTCCACATCCTTTCTGGCCTTCCTGGCAAGCATTGTCAGTCCTTTTGGCTTGGCGGAGTGGGAGTAGCAAGGAGATTGAGAAAGAGAGAGAGATTTGCCCATTTGGCCTATGCTTTTCCCCCTTCCCACTTGCGCCCCCCAGTCCATCCACTCCACCCGCATCCACACCCACATCCACGCACACTCTCTCTCCATTCTCTGTCGTCTGTCTCTCTCCTCCTCTCACACTGTTTCGACCTGCCCATCTCGAAGACAAGCTGTCCTTGTTTGACCTGCCTTCGCCATGTCCTGTTCTGTCCCGCCCTGCCTGTGCCGTGTGCCCGGGGGCGTGGGCGGATGGAAAAGCATGGTCCACAAATATTTCGTTCTTCACCTTTCCTCCAGTCACCGTCCCGGTATCCTCCTCTTCCTCGTATGGGGACGCGGATGAGCCACGGGGTACCGTTCTGTCCTGGGATCTTGCTCTCGTCGTCCCTCTCTCGCTGGGCATCCCGACTCGCCTGCCCTGCCCTTTATTGTGCCTCGCCCCCGTTCCGCTCCCCGGGTCATGGTCGTCTGTTCTCTTTTGAAAATGGCACGACGGTCGACTGCTTCTTCGCTTCTGCCGTAAACATCTCTCGCTCCCTCTCTCGTTTTTTCCTCCTCGCCATCCCGAAGCTCGCCAACAGGGATTCCTCGAGCTTTCCCCGTCGCTTCGGATCCGTCCATTCAGCCTTGGCCATCCAGCAGAAGCTCCCAGAGGCTGTCGACACGTAAAATAGCGCAGTGCCCATCCATCCCCCGGGTCTACTTTCCTCGGCGCATCACCATTCTCTGCCTCATCCAATACTCTTCCTTGTTGGACCGCTGCTGTTTTTCGTTGTTGTTGTTGTTCTTGTTCGACCTGTTCGACCTGCTGCCACGCGATTGACCCTTCGATTTGACTTGGACTGCGTCTTTGGTGTTCGGTTGTCCTCAGACCGCACCTTCCTTCTCCATCCAGGTTGGGTGCTCTCCGCTGGTTGAGTCCTCCAACGAACCAACACCACCACACCGTCGATACTCCCCTTTCCCTCTCGACGACATTATTTGGCCAAACATCTCGCCTCCCAGAAACGAACATTGATCAGCCGCAACAATGGATCGCGACACCAGGATCATCACTCCCCTCGAGGTGGAGGGCATGATTGCCGACGGACGCACCGTCATTATCCTCGACGAGATGGTGTTGCGCCTCGACGGCTGGCTCGACAAGCACCCTGGCGGCAAGTTGGCCATCATGCACATGATTGGAAGGGATGCGACCGACGAAATCAAAGTGTAAGAGAAGCTTCGACTTACCCGTCCGTGATCAATTAACCTTTCGCGACCCTTTTGCCTCCCTTCACGGGCCCCCTTGTTGGACCCCTATGATTTCGGTCTCCATTCTTTTTCGGGCTCGGAAAAAAATCCGCAGCGGGTATCGGGATGGAATGCGAGACCGAGCGGGAGGAGACAGCTGAGCGACCCAAAGGGAGGCAAAAAAAAATAAGTAAATCAGAAGTCTGGTTAAGCTTATTTCCCCAAATGCCCAAATGGACGGAAGAAGGGGAGATGGCCAATAAATATTTCGGATTCGCTGGGCATTCCGCCTCCGTTAAGTGGAATTAGTGTGCTGACATATCGCCCTTGTTAGTTACCATTCGTCTGCTACCCTCAACACCATGAAGGCCTTTCGGATCGGCCGGAAACCTGCGGGTCCCTGGGTCAACATGACACCACCAATTAGGGGCGGCGTCTACACCAGGCAAGATACGACGCCTGCATCTGCATCTGCATCTGCGCTTGCATCGGGATCTGCTGCCCCAGATGTCACGGACGCTGCCGTCGACTGCCCCTCGTCTGATCTCGATGAGGACGACTCCGCCGACGACGCCGTTTCCGAAGTCTCCGCCAGGAGCTCCCGCACGTCCCTGACTTCCGAGTGCAGCAGCGCCGATGTCGAGAAGACCAAGCCTGAGCCGCAGACCGAGACGGGCATTCGCAGACGTGTCGCTGCGCCCGCCGACTCGGCCGATGATGCCCTCCTCTCTGGCCGGAGTCGCATGAGCCCTGAGCAGTACACCGAGTGGGCTATCCAGCAGAATGTCAACAAGGATCTCGATGAGTACCCTTCGCTTGACCCTGCTGTCCAGCTCGACATCCAGATGAAGTACCGTCTGCTCCACGAACGCGTCAAGGCCGCCGGACTCTACGAGTGCCCCTACTTGGATTACGGCAAGGAGATGTGCCGCTACTCGACCCTGTTCGCCGGGTTCCTCGTCGCGCTGCACTATGAGTGGTACATGACCTCGGCTTGCTTCTTGGGCCTCTTCTGGCATCAGATTATGTTCTCGGCCCACGATGCAGGCCACGGTGCCATCACCCACAACTTCACCTTCGACACCCTCATTGCCCTCTTCATCGCCGACTTCTGCTGCGGCCTGTCCATGGGATGGTGGAAGAGCAGTCACAACGTCCACCACCTCATTACCAACATGCCTGTAAGCTGAAACCCACCGTTGCTGCCAGTCGAGCGAACCTTGACTAACATGTCTCAGGAACACGACCCCGACATTCAGAACGTCCCGCTCTTCGCGACCTGCCCGTCGTTCTTCAAGTCCATCAAGTCGACCTACTACGACGGCTTCGTCTTCTACTGGGACGCCGCCGCCGACGTCCTGGCCAAGTACCAGGCGTACACCTACTACCCCGTCATGGGCATTGCCCGCTTCAACTTGTACCTCCTCTCCTGGCTGCACGTCCTGTCGCGCAGGTCTTCCCAGCTTGGTAGCTCCAAGGCGTGGTGGATCCGCCCGACCGAGATCGCCTTCATGGCCTGCTTCTGGTACATCTTCGGCTACCGCCTGATCCTGTGCACCCTGCCCACGTGGCCCATCCGCGTCGCCTTCGTTCTCGTTTCGCACATCATCACCATGCCTCTGCACGTCCAGATCACCCTGTCCCACTGGGGCATGTCGACCTCGGACCTTGGCGAGTCCGAGTCCTTCGCCCAGCGCCAGCTCCGCACCACCATGGACGTCGACTGCCCCGCCTGGCTCGACTTCATCCACGGCGGCCTCCAGTTCCAGGCCGTCCACCACCTCTTCCCGCGCCTCCCCCGCCACAACCTCCGCAAGGCGCAGGTGTTTGTCAAGGACTTCTGCAGAGACACCGAAATCCCTTACTCCATCCTGGGATTTGTCAACGGAAACAAGAAGGTCATTGGCAGGCTCGAGGAGGTTAGCGACCAGCTCCGCACGCTGCTCGGCTGCCAGAAGTATATGGCCGAGACGGGCGAGAGCGCTTTGCACTAAAGACGGCATGAATGCATTGGTTCGGCGTTGGGATTTCATAGAGTAGACAAAAAGTCGATTTTTCTTCTTTACCTTTAAAACCTAGAGCTTTCTCGCGTGATCTCGGTGACTGTTATGTGTAAACGTCATGTGTAAATGTCAGGTATCGAAACAGCCAATCCGACGACTGATGATTCCCTGAACGTTGAGTGGTAAAATAATGTGTTGTGTGGTATCCTAGACGAGTCATCTCAGCATGCCTGTCGAGTTCCACTTGAAAGCCTCTAGAGCTTACATCCCAGCAACCCAGCTCCCCTGCCTACCATCTCCGAACCTGCAGATGCGTTGCCGGGAAGGGGTTAGCCGCCCTGTAAGCCGCCGACGTAGGTCCCGGCCGAAGTCAGCGCAAGCTCGAGCCGGCCTTACCCGGGCCCGTCAAGGAGGGCACACCCCGGCCGATAGAGAACACAGACTTCCAGGCTAATGCATGGCGTGGCGGGCCCGCGGCGACGGGAGATGGGGGAGGGAAGACCTGCGGAGATCCGCCTGAACCCCAGCCATATCCCGCGGAGCGGCCTCGGACTCTGATCAAGGGGGGCTGCTGTTTGGAGCTGGGTCATCCGGTGCGTGCTGTGGCTGGTGGGTTTCTGGTGCTTATCGGCCGGGGAGTGCTGACTGCTCTTCTTCGGTGCAGTAGCTTGGAACTTCGGGATTAAATGGTCCTGAGTAAGCCTTACTGCGGCGTTGGTGCTGCCGAAGTCGAATGTTCGCAGCCGCTCCGTTGGGTTTGCTGTCGTATCTGTCGTTGTTCTGCTGTTGCTATTGGGCTTCGTCTTCTTTCCGTTCGTCTGTGATACGTTGCAAAACCTGGGGGATGCATGCATGCGGTGAAGGTATTGTTTGGCGATGCTGACAACGTTTTTGACAACTTCAACTCAACGGCAGGTTGCCGCTCTGACATTCGGCTGAAGGTTTGTTGGCTCAACTTCTTTTTGGCAGCAGAGCGCAAACGTGTCTATTTGATATCTTGATCATCCTGCGGCAGATATGTCGCTGATGTTATGTGTTGTGTTTTCTGGCTTTTGTCATCTTGTTCTCATGCCTCCGCCCTTGCCACCTCCGTCACAAGTCCAATCTTCCAAACATCTCAAGCTAGAAGTAACGCACCAATTGCAATCTGGATGATTTGTTGTTTGTTTTTCTGTCGTCCTGCAGGTTCAAATTTCAAACTTCGGCCACACTGAAAAGACCGAGGAGGTATAAAACCTACCCAAGAACGACAAACATTGAGGAGATTCTTTGAGTAGCAAGAAGAGTTTAAGGAGCATGTTGCTGGGCCCGACCCGTGCCTGTCTTCCTCTTGAAACTTGCCCTCGCCAATCTGAAGAAGTGGCTTTACGTGTCGGGAAGCGTTACCAAGACTCAAGTTCGCCCACTATTATCTAGCAGCATCATCGCAAGCCTAGAGCATTTGGCTCAAGTTGGGACCGACCATATTTCATGGCTCCGGAAGCTCTTCCCAATCTCTCATGTCGTGGGCGAGAAATCTGACCGCTTTTTGAACTTCCCGCTACAGATACGGCTGCTTATACTGGAACGGGCCATGCGTGCTCTATTCCCTTATTTTAAAGCCGTCGCTCTTCGAGACACCTATAGCTGGGAAAGTGAACTGAGCAATTAAACTAGTCAACGAACCGATAGTTAAATAGTCGCTGACCCCTAGATTCCTCCGTCATCCCACTTGATTGATGCCAGACTCTGTAAAGGCTACAAGAAGTTAGGGGTGGCTGTGAGAGTGCACGTCGCAGGAACCTTGCGGTGGAAGAAAAGATCGAGACTACTGTGCTCATATACCTCTGGAGGAACAAACTATAAGGATTGGGCATTCTCCATCTACCTCCACAACGTCTTCTCCCGCTACCAAGCCCGCGAAGGTGAACAGCGAACTGCGCTGAACAGGATCGAGTTCTTCTTCCCGCCCACTACAGCCGGAACCATGAGTCTCCACCGACGTCTGTACGTCTCGAGGTCAACGAGCCGTGAGTGTTCGACCCAGAAATAGAACTTGGAGAACCTCGCCAGGTAGAACAACACGCTAGGATACATCGTGAGCGTCCTCAACTAGATGATACGGATGCACGCGATGGAGATTCACCCCATCGACTGCAACGCTCGTCTATAGCCTGAGGCAGACTTGGAAGAAGATCTACGCAGCAGAGTAGGAACATGATTTCCTTGAGCCTGTGGATGATGGTTGGACTTCCGCTGATCCGCGGATCGGCGTGCATGGCCTTCTCGAGCTTGTTAAAGGCTAGGCTAGTATGACTGGTTGGCCGTTGCGAACCTGAATGGTTGCACATGCGAGGAATGCGATTCGCCAGTTACTTGGGGTGATCATCTGAATGGTTGTAGTCGAGGGGTTTAGTGCAAAGACAGCTCAAGGCTGGTTCTGACAATGTTGTTGATGCAAAGTTCATTGTGCAGAGAAGTAGCACCCTTGCTGTCGAATAATCGGTTTGCAACTTTGCTACCAAGAACGGTTATGTTTGCCTGGACTCTTTGTCTCGCTACTTGTAGAATGTCCTACGCTGGTGGTTGTCGTTATGATGCAGTCATATGGGCATGATGCCAAACGTGTGGTTGGCCCGGTAAACCCCTTTCCAAGTCGGACTCTCCCATGCATCCTTTCAATATTCACACCAATATGGAAAATGTATTTTCCCCAAAAGAAGGTTCAATACAATCCCAACGGGAATCCCAACGGGAATCCGAGACCACGTCAGGCCCTATGGCATTTGGTCAGTGGGGTAGTTTCCCACATGGATCCGTTTTCCCACACCCCACCCACACGAATCTTGCTCGAGGGGGGAAACAAGGTGATAGCTAAGCGTTGGAGAAATAAAAAAGCTTACCGACTCGCCCACCATAGTGGACTTGGTTCGATCGTTGCTACCACAATTTGAAGGTGCGAGTCACGGGCCTCCCTTCGGTCCGATGTCCCAATGTTTACTGATTAATGGTCGAGAGTTTGGGTAAGCATATAACCCCTCGCATGAGTCGTATATACTAAACATAAAATGGGTCTGGACGAAAGACGATTCAGACAATTGTGAATACTCTGTGGAGTCTTTTTGAGAAGAAAGCTGCTAGGACATACCAAAACCACGACGATGAAGACTTTCACCGCTTTTGCGCTCATTGCGAGTGTCATTGCTACGGATCACGGCCCAACGGTTTGTGCACTTCATGGCAGAACTAGTTCCTATTTTCACACTAACACATGCATCTGACAGTATGGCGGCACTGGCCCCTTCAAGTCGGTATGAACGCGCACGAGTAATCAGCGTGCGATCTCTACTAACTCAGCTATAAGTACTCCTTCGAGGTAGAGTCGCTTGTTAATCACACCTTCTACCAACCGCTGGAGTCAGCACTTGGCTCCGACTTGAAACTCCCGGTGATCGTCTGGGGAAATGGCGGCTGCTTGCCTTGGTAAGTTCAGCCCTTGTTTACACAAAACTTTGCTAACGACTGCTAGTATGTTGATTGACCGAGGTTATGATAACTGCCTCTTATTCGCTAACTGAGACGACTAGTTGGAATGACTTTCCGCGGCCTCCTGGGAGAGGTGGCTTCCCATGGTGCTCTGATAATTGCTACCGGGCCAGCATACGTTGACCCTAAGACTTACGTGGCGCCGCCGGGTAACCCTTTAAACCAGGCTTCCGGGCAGAACCCTGGGGCTCTCACTGCCGCCATAGACTGGGTGCAAGCCAACGCAGGCAAAGGCGATTGGAAGCACATTGACGCCTCCCGCATTGGTGCCTGGGGCCAGAGCTGTGGCGGTCTCGAGGCGTATACCGCCGGCCTGAACGATGGTCGCGTGACGCATTTCGGTATCTTCAACAGCGGTCAGCTGAATGAGACAGCGAGCAAGGCCATTGCAGGCAACCTTAAGAAACCGGTTTTCTACACCTTGGGTGGGCCGACAGATGTCGCCTTTGACAATGTCCGTACTTCTCCTTCATCAGGTTTGACTTGCAATGTGCTGACCTTTGATCAGGGCGAGATGGACTACTCGAATGTTCCTACGGGAACTCCAGCTTGGAAGGGGAACCATGATCTGGGCCATAGCGCCGCGTTCGATGCTCCCAACGGCGGGATCCCAGCCATGGTTGGTACTCAGATCATGAAGTGGGTTCTGCGTGGAGATGAGTCGGCAAAGGCATGGTTCACGGGCGATGCCCCAAAGACTATTGGATTCAAGGACGTCGTTTTCAAAGATTTGGATAACCTCCAAGTCACGCCCATTTAGCGAGCAGGCTGATATGCCGATCGGTACCACTTTGCGAGGTGTCAATATGGATTGCTGTACATTATTTGATTCGATCGAAGTATTTAAATACAATCATTCAATCAACTTACGTGATACAAAACGAACCCAATCTGCCTCGCCACAGTTGCTTAATCATTACCCTGCTGACGATAGGCTTCTTCTTAGCTGACACGACGACTATTTGTTGACCTTACGACGGGTTCAGGCGTACGGATGGTGGCCACACAGTTGGCTACACCACACCTAGTTGCAGTTGAGTATGACACCGAAGTCCGACTGTCGACTGACCCGCATCTCGCTTCCTTATTGGGCTGTCTGACAGGCACAAAAATCAGGCTCGCATCCCACACGAACTCCTCTTTTGATTTCTTCCCTCAATGTCGGGACTAACTAAGCAAACCTGTGTCTATCGCGTGCCTCCCAATAACAAGATTCCCCGCTTTTCATCGCCATGAACTCTCAGACAGATCTCTACGACACAATAATTCTAGAGCCCCGCAAACGGGAAATCCGCGTAATCCACATCGGGTCCGGGACGAACAACGATCCTCTCAAGCTTAGCTTATCGCGAGTTTCGCTAGACGACAACCCTGATTATACTGCTCTATCCTACTGCTGGGGGCCTCAAGTTAATCTAGAGCAGGTCGAGATCAGTAACAGGCCAATTCCTATCTCCCGCCACCTTCACAAATGCCTCGTGAGCCTTCGTCGAGAGGATTCTCCGCTCACGCTCTGGATCGATGCAATTTGCATCAATCAGAGCTCGAACCAAGAGAAGAACACCCAGGTCCCGCTAATGAGAGACATTTACAAAGGAGCTACTGAGGTTCTCATTTGGCTTGGCGAATCGACCGCGGGACTGGATCGCGTTTTCAACTCAATCCAGAGGGTGATTGAGCACAACATTGAAATCGAGCCTAAAGGCATTTCGCAGGTTGCCGAAGAGCTTTTGAAAGCTTCTCCAGACGAAACTGAACAGGCCTTCACCGAGTTTGTCAACATACCCTGGTTTCGTCGCACATGGATCATCCAAGAACTCGCACTGCCTCGACAGGACCCAATATTCCTTTGCGGGAAGCACCGCGCTCCTTGGACACATGTCAAGCGCTGGTGGGATATCGCTAAATCACTTAACCAAGCCGTCATTCAACATAGTACACTGACGCTTCCCGCGTGGAGGAATCTTCACCACCTCCTTAACTTCCGTGTTCTCGACAAACTTGCTTTGCTACGGCAACTGTTCGGGAATCCGAACGTCTTTAAGAACGGCCTTCGCCTTTCTGCACTGATCTTCATGAGCGAAGAGTCTCTGGCTACCAACCCAAGAGACAAGATATACGGTGTCATGGGTCTGGCCAATGCCAGTGCCAATGAGAAGATTGTGGTCGACTATGACAAGTCTGTCGAAGATCTCTACGAAGAAACTTCCAGATATCTAATATTTGAGGAGAGAACGCTCAGTATTCTGTCGAATCAGTCTGTCGATATAACGCGAAACTCGACTGATGAAGAGGCTGAGGCATATCATGAGTTTACTCTGACTTGGGGTCCAAACGTCAAGTCATCTTGGATACGCGACTTCGGATACATTCGCGGTGCCACACACAGACCAGACCCCTTGGTCAGGGACTTGGATTCCCGTTGCTTGAGATACAATGCGTCCCTGAACACTATTCCAACAGCATGTCCTGACCAGAAAAAGAATGTGCTTTCCATTGCGGGAACGAAGGTTGGCGTAGTCAAGGATCATGTAAGGGCCTGGTATGAATATCGAGGCAAGATTCAGTGGTTCAGGAACACCAACGAAGCTTTCAACGTATTTTTGCGCGCAGGCCGTCCGACTCTAGAGGTCGAAAAAGATTTTAGTAGCGAACCTTTCAGAAACACCGAAATGACAGCAGATTCCGAAGTCAAGGAGGTACATCTTGTATACAGCCCAGAAGGCGGCCCGACGAAACCAATCAGAGAAGCCATCTGGAGAACATTTGTCGGTGACAAGAGCTTGGATACTTTGGACCATGCCCCAGGCTACTTTGAAGTCTTCTTCGAAGGCCTTTTGGATGCAGAAAGGGGGAACCCAAGCCCAAAGATCTCAGTGTCAGACGATGCGCTTCCCCCTGGCAGTGATGTGATTGAACATTGGCAATCATTCTTGCATAGGGTGCATATGATGATATATCGTCGAGCCGCCTTTTCTACAGAGAACGGGTGGATTGGACTCGGGCCTGACATGATGCGCAATGGAGACGTTGTTGTTTTACTTTCGGGAGGAGATGTACCTTTTGTATTGCGGCCTACACAGGACGGTCATACCTTGATTGGGGAGTGCTATGTCGAAGGCATGATGTATGGAGAGATGCTCAAGGCTCAACTGGAGACACGAGCAGCCAGCGAGCCAAACTCGATTAGAGGCGAAATGTTCCACATTCGTTGAATTTGGGCATCCTTGCGGCGCCAATGTGGCAAACAATTGCTAGTGTCGGCACCGCAAATGAACTAGATAGCAATACCTGGTATATACTACTTCAATGGCATCCTGGCTCCGGGGATCATTGCGCCTTGAGTAAGGGATCAGATCCATGTGAAATTGGAAGTGCTCTCTCTGGGTGGCCAGATCCATCCCAGGTGTGTCTAACATCCTAGGTGACAGTCACTGTATCCAAATCGACCGGCAGCTTGGTGTATTTCGTCTTTATCTTGATATCAGAACGACGTGAAGACGCCTGATCTATTCTGTTCACCTGTTCATTCCGCTTGCATTACTCGAGGATGGCGGGTTTTTCGGCTGCACTCAACAACAGAGTAGCACCGACAGACCATGTTTTGTTTACTGGACAACTGCTCATACGCGCATGCATACTATTCCATTATTCAATCCCAAGCTCTAATTTACATTTGCATGTACAAACTTAAGGGTCATTCTACGCATGTATCGTTGGCTTGCTAACTCCATCTAACATCAGCACTGCGAGACACCGTCCCCAAGCTATGCTTCCATTACTTGGCGATCTCAACACCATTGGTGGCACCTGAAAAGAAGAGTCAGTTCTGTTAAGAGGGGGAGAAGAGCAATAAGACCCACCGAGAGCCTTCTTGATGCTGCCATAAATAGCGAATTGACCAGCAGTAAGACCGCCGACCATGAACAGACGGGTAGGAAGACCGGTGAAAGAACCGCGGATTCCAAGCTCGCCGCCAATCTTGACAAGGCGAGAGATGGTGCCTTCACCCGGAAGACCCTTCGTCTTGTTAATTTTAGACAGCATGGTGTCGGCCGGCTGGGAGACAATAGCAGCAGCGAAACCAGCGAGGAGACCAGAACCCAAGTTCACAGCGGTTTGGGCACCACTCGATAAGCTAGACTTATCAAATTGAGCGAAGATGGCTTCAGAAACCTTCTCGAAAGCTACGAACTTGGTGACAGTGTAGGGAACCCTGTATAGCCGTGTTAAATAGATCTATACTTGACATCTTGTGAACTTTTAACCTACTGCTTGAACAGGATAGGGACAAATCCGGAGTAGAATGCGCCAATGCCTTCCTGGGTAAGAATCTTACTAAAACCGCCCACCAGACCATTGGCAAAGCCAGGAGTCGAGACAAGACGGATGCGGGTGGCCTCGAGAGGACTAAGAGCAATCGAAGCAAAGAACTCAGCGCAGGCAGCGGAGACAGAGTAGACTGCGGTACGGTTCTGGCGGGCCTTCTCAATACCGAGAATGTCGATGGCCTGCTTCTTGAAAAACTCGTAACCACCGAACTTGAAGGCTCCCTGGATGAAGTACCCGGTGAAGGTTGGGCCGAAGCCAGTCAAAAGGGCACCAGCGCCCTCGGATTGGATGACCTGCCGGAAGCCGCCAATCATGCCACGGTTGTAGGTGGCCGGGTCAAGCTGGATCCTGGTCTTGACGCTGTATAGTGCCAGTGCGAAGTTGTCAGTGCCAGTAGAGGCAGGTAGGGAAACGGAGCAACTCGTCAAGCTGACGGGACAACAACATACACGTCGACGGGAGTGAAAGCGCCATGAGTTAGAGAGCAGCCCAGGGCGCCGGCAAGAGCGAAGCGAGAGTAGAGATCGATACCCTGGGGCCCCTTGGCCGAGTCACTAGGAGAGGCACCCATTGTGACGGTGGTGAATGAGCTGGTTATGGAGGGGAGTTTCTGAGAGAGGGAACGGAATGACTCCAAAGGAGAAGACAAAAGGCAGAAAACCGCGCTTCAAACAAGGAGTTGACACGTCCAGGAATCCGCTTCTCAAAGGAGTCTAGGGCCCACAGCGGAATCCTCGAATCCTTTGAACGAAGACCCACATTTACGACTTGATTGGCCCACTCTTATCTCCGGCTTACGTCCTGATATCCTGATGGAACCATTATTGAGGATCAACTCTGCAGTGTGATGTGATGAGTTGTTTTAATACAAGACAGAAGAATCAAAACAATGATTAAACCCTTGCGCAATGCGAGAAAGGAACAGCCGAAATAACAAGGAAATTTTGGGTGCACGTGTTCGTGTGGACCCTCAGGGTCGTTGTTCGGTAAGTCCCGGGTTCGGGGGTGTTGGAGGTGAGAGTAAGCAGCTAGATCAACGCCGGGGACAAGAAGAGCGGCTATAAGAGGGAGTGGAGACGCAGCCGTGTCATACCGAGACCAAGGAGACCGACCCATCGGTAAGCCTGTTGGTTTGAGAGAGACAGAAAGCGCGTATACAGTTACAGCACACAATTCACCACACGTTGCTATGGACATGGAAAATGATATCGAACGAATTTGGTGTTGATCTGTCGTACAGCTTGGATTGGGCTTTGCATCTCCTTGGTTTTGAGAGCAGAAAGTCAGTCGACGGGGGCAATTGGATCACTCAGTCACCAACGTTATGTTCCTTGCCTCTCATCCTGTACAGAAAAAAGTCACAGTACGTATAACCCAAGACAGCAGCACCTCTGACCTGTGCTAAGTCTCAATTTATCAATACAGTACAAAACACCCAATAGCGTGGAACGACTGCTGGTCCAGATCTCACCTCAACCGTGGCCTGCACATGCGGGCCATCTAAAAATGGCGGCTTAGGTGAGCGGACGTATGAGCAGAAGCATCAGGCAGAACCCTGACTACAGTGGTGGCTTCATTCAAACTACTGCCAAGGTCGTGACGACTTTGCGACTTGGTCCTAACTTGCAAGAAAACCTGCCAAGTCTTCGTAGTATGACTGGGGGCAATGACTTCTGCTGGAGCCAAGTGAGAGAGGTCGTCCTCAAGAGAAGCATCACTCGCCGGCCTCCCCTGATCGAGGAATCTGTTGTGAAGCTTATCCTCCGAGGAAGAATCATTGGGCGACTTGCGATTGATATTCAAGTGTGCGTGGGCTATATTGACTGGTATGGTGTAAGGAATTGAACCGAAAGCTGGCGTCACATGCAGTATGTATATCTGCAGGGTCAAAAAAGCCGTCATCTTCTCAGAATCTCAATTAAGACCCAGGAGGGTTTCTATGTAGTGGTACCGACCAAAGAATGTGATCCAAAGACCCTTCACGTTTCCAGTCGTGAGTAAGTGTTCGTCGTAGTGTCTTTAGGGTTGCTCCAGGGTTCAAAGTGCAAGCTGCCATGACCAAGAGCACCGACATAGTCGTGAACACTACTGCGCAACTTTATGACTCAGATATGGGCACTGGGCTTCTTCTTGTCTTTACAGACCAGGCTTGTGAACTCATCTTCCGCTGTCGTTTTGTAAAGGGCGTCCTCCAGTCATGATCAGGCCTCACGTAGTAGGCATACTCGACAATCAATTTCTCAGAGCAGCCTTCAATATCGATCTCTAGCGCCTTGTCAACAAGGAGAAGCACAAGAAGTGTGTCAGAAAGGTACTGAAATAAACAGAATTCTAAACATGGTTTTCTTCCCTACGGCTCTCGAGATTATCATATCTAGAGGAAACTTTGTCTCTAGTCCGTCTCGAACCGCGAGGGATGGTCGTTTGAACTTGTGTAATGCGCTTCGAATTGAGATCCAGATCCAAAAACACCCTTATCAATGCTTTGTCTCTGTGACATGCATGGCTGGGACAAAGAACCATATTCTTCTTCTGAGATGCTTAGGTCCCCCACGAAAGTGGTCTCCGTAGAGAGCCTGGGCTTCGATCGAGGCGTTTGATTGGTATATCGCCTCGAATGAGACAACATCGGCATAGTAACTGGTTGTGGCAGTCTAGAGTCGACGGTGCTGCTAAGCCGAGAAGAGCCCAACATAGAAGTGGGCAGTGAGGACTTGAAACTCCAAGGTCCTGGAGACCGGAATTTTCGACTTTTGTAAGCATTGGGCGATCCAGTTGAAGGTTTTCTTGCGCTTGGAGCATTTGATGTCATGGTCTTATGGTGCGCGCTGGTATTTGTCGAGATATGTGGTATAATTGACTTAGTGAGACCCTATAATTTCATAATCAACATTCGAACACTTCGGTTTCAGGTGATAAAACATGCCTTGTTCATGACGATTTCAGCAGACGAAAACCTCTCTGGGTCTGATGTGCCATGCACGCCTCTCATAGCATAGCTCGAGTTGTCCTTGCATTTTTGAAGGAGGTCTCCTAGTTCTCTGCCCAGTTGTGTGCAGTTCCATCGCTCTTTTGAGGTTGGTACCAGCATCTTGGACTGTATGAGATCTAGGAAGACATGTAAAGGCTCTGTACACATAGGATGTGCATGAAGCCTTTCGATCCACTATTGGTGTATAAGCATGCTATTGAAATGTTTCAAAGGAGGCGCGTGCTCCTTTAAAATTGGAATCAGGTACTCACTGCTATTACAGATTGTTTGAGCTTTGCTCTGATAATATGAGGAGCATTCCTCGAAGACTGCTCAAGCACGAAGAATGTATCTTCCGGCAACGGCTTGCACAGACTCTTCTCTTCTTTAACACGTAGCTTGCTGAATTGATCATGTGTTTCGGTGTGTCCAAGCAGAAACCATGAAACAAATTCCAAATAAACACACCCTAGTGACCAGATATCATATCTTTGTGATATCACTTCTTTGAGGTCCATCTCCGGCGGCCTGTAAGTTCCAGAGCAGCCGATAATGGAGTCATGTACCACCTTTGATCTAGAATGTGCGGTATTGAAGCTCGTGAGTCCAAAATCAGAAATCACAAGATAGTCTTTTTTTCCAGCGTGTTCTTGGAACCAGAGAATATTCTCCGGTTTTATGTCTCCGTGTCTTCCCCATTCCTTGCTGTCCAACAGTACATCAAGATCTTCGAGGTCTTTAGGTGGATATTCGGACATAGACATAGTGCTGAAGTGATGGACTCTCCGCAGAGCTTTTATCAGCCCCACGCATTGAGTGAAGAGCCAAACAACATGACTGTGCTCTGTCGCAGTAAGGGATATTTTCGCCCAAAATTCTTGCAGGTTTCCATCTGCCCATGGGAAAACGAGGAAGTAGCGGTCGCCAAGTCGGTATGTTAGCTGCAATTGTATCAAATGTTCCGGAGCACCGTCTTTTTTCCCCACTCCAATCTTCTCGAACAAATCAACCTCTCTTCGATATGCTTCTTCGCTGTTCGAGTGAAGCTCCTTGACTGCGAAATACTTACTGACTCCTGCTTGGGCCTAATGTACATGATCAACTTTGAAGATAACTTTGGAGATATCATAGGGATATTACTATACCTTACGGCTGTGTCCATGGCTGTAGTGTGCCTGATGTATCTCAACTTTTCTGACAGTGCCATAACCACCAATGCAGGGACGATCGTATTGTAGGAAGGGTAATATGGGGCGGTTTTTCAAGTTGTAGAAGCATACCCTATCACCTGGTAACTCGAAGAAGGGACTGCAAAAGGTCTCCTGGCGCGATACAAAGTGTTCAACGTGCTTCGGGGGCCAAGTGTGTAAAGGTGTTGGGGACTGCAGACTCGTTCTGCCTGGAGAGCCCTTTGAACTCCCACTGAGCTGGACTACATTCCCAGACCCCTTGATTCTTCTAATTTGTAGTGGAAGATGACAATCCTTGATGTTGTCACGAACGAAGTCTTTGACAAGCTGGACCTCCTCCATCATGACTAGGATAGCAAAAATCTTACGTCTTGGCGAACTGTAAGTTTTGGTCTCGTCTCCAAGGATGTCTACAATCAGTTGTTTTATTTTCTGATCGTTGTCGTTTGGAAATCTTTTACGCAAGAGTTTACCGACAACTTCGCGGGTGATGATACTGCGCAGATTGTTGTAGGCTAGAAATGGTTGGTTATCTAGCGCTGACGTGTCTAACGCATCTCTTATCGTATTGGCTATTGAATCCACTTCGACATCTTCGATGGTGTTCAATGGATTGATTGTTGAGGATTGGGTGGTTTTCGGCAACATCGTGGGCAGACTTGGGTTCACACGCGTCCGTTGATGTGGAAATTCCCCGATGCCTCTCGAGAGTGGATGTCTTTGTTGGCCGGGGCTTGGAACCAATAGATGTGTTGAGGGCAACGTTTCATATGCAATGTCGTTGGTTATTTCTTCGCCGGACGGTAACAATGCCTCGAAGTGCATTAGAGCTGTGTGGCCCCTATCTTCCACGGAAAAAATACTGGCACAGCTCTCCGAATAGACGGTCTCGGGAACTACTCGCCGTGATAGTGCTTGAACATCATTATTGAGGATACGTTTGTCGATGGCTTTCTCTATACCAATTGCTGGAACGGTTGGGCTTGGCGGTAAAAATTGATTGTCTAAAAAGGACGGCTGTCCAATCCCAGGTCGACTTCGTTGTAGAGGTGTCTCATTCAGGACCGCATCTTTCGATGAGAGACTCTTTGTCTGGGTGAAAGGCTTGTTTGTGAAAAGCGCTTGCTTGGAAGCGTTGATGGGTCTGTCGCTAGTGGGAAGGGGCAGTCTGGTTGTTGGTTTGCGACTTAATTTCCTCGTTTCTTCCATTTCCGATTGCGGGAGCATGCTCCGTGAGGCCAGGCTGGAAAGGTGATTGGGTAATAAAATATCAAGGACGACAGGGACAAAAGAATTGATGACTGGTTTCTCTCTGATACCAGCATATTCTCATTTAAAGGCAGATTTGGGAGCCAAGCTGCCATGGGTAATAATGAGTTTATCAATAACAACTCCCAAATTTGGACGCATTCAGCTTCGTTGACCATTAATCCAAAGGGCATCTTTGCAATCAGCCTGCCGATGTGGCGTTGACTGCGGCCGGCAGCAGGCGCCTAATGATACACCAGCCCATATTCTCCAATGGGACCCGGAGGCCACCACCCTCCATTTCAGATAAGCGAATACACGAGACATAAGAGGCTATGTCTTATCAGCTGTTGTGGCTGAGGTTCGGTGAATTTTATCGAATCGGGGACGATCTGAACTTGATGAAATAGAAATAACATTACCCCAAAAAGCTATTGACGTACAGCCCTGCCTCAGACTGATATTTTCAGATCGTGAGATAACTGAATGAATGTTAGTATGGCCTGGTTTCTTAAGCTCAATTCCTCGAAGCAGATTAGTTCGGAATTTCCTCTGCAAGTGGGTGTGAAATGCAGCCTGATTTGGGAAATTAAAGCTGGCATTTCACATTAGAAATGAAGGGTGGTCAGCTCAGCATGGATCCTACATACCGAACGTGATAGCCTGTTCCTGTTTCGTCCAATGATATTGATCCGAATGTCTCGTCATGTTTTTCCATTTGAATCTACGCAGTAATACTTCCTGCCCCATGACAAAGTCGGAAGCGAGTTAGCGAGGTGTTCTATGTATAAACATTTTGTTTGTCACTACGGGTTGATGATATATCTGGCAGAAAATCTCCATTTCTACACATGTACGTCGTTCAGAATCTATCAGTCGTTCAATCTGTTAGACAGTTTTCATTATATTGCCCAGTTGTCAGCATGACTTCCATCCAGCGACCGACAATCGTTACCAGCCTTGATAATGCCGACCCTGATAGCGCCGGGACCACCGTGGAATTCAAGATCCACTCGAACCTCGTGAGCTCCCCGCATCTCCTGCGGGTTCTGGAAAGCCGATTACCAGAGGACAGCTTCACAGTAGAAATGCGGCACAGCTTGTATATCATTCAGGTGAAAGATTCTTGTATGAAAGAAAAGATAGAGATGCTCCACAGGCTTGCAAGTGGTACGTGAGCATAGGTCATTTCGCAGAGGGGTGGTAGAGAGCACTCTAGGAACAGTGTATCTAACCATATGGATGCAGGTTGATGGCCTGGGCGCTCCCGCACACCATTATGAGGTTAGCCATAATTCTTAAGAGGCCGGACGCCCCTGGAAGTGTCGCAATCGCACTGTCGATCAATTTTATTGTACGGATTTTCTACCAAGCAGTCATCAAGCATACTCCGGAAGATCACAATCGGCAAATAAGTTGATTGCTCAATTCCAAATTGAAGTGCTACAGAAGGATGATGTATTGTACATAGAATATAGCCACATCTAGAACAGCAACGAGACATAATTCGGGCCGTCATGTTGCCATTGTACAATCGTGGAATGTACTATGTCGTTGGAGACAACGGAAGAAAACAAAGATTGCTGTACTACTCTATGGCAACCTCAACCCTGAGATCCATTGAGATATGTTCTGCAAGTATTCTACCAACACCTGCCCTCATGTATCGACCGTTAGCACCAGTATTCAGTGGCTTGACGACAAGGACGTAGTGTTCTGCATTCTGTGACATCTCCGCAGACTTCTCCACGCCTAGAACAATACACCACAGTTCCTTCATAATAGCGTCCTTTGGGTTGTCAAAAACCACCCTTTTCATCATCTCAATACGGTCACGATCCAATTCAAGCTTCCTTGCGCTACCTCGAAGTACTTGCACATCGCAATGCTGCCCAACCTCCCAATGTCGTTTGTGTCCACTTCCAGTAACAAAGGGCGAGAGGATGTCATGTTTCCAGTCAACATGGTCAAATGGAGCTTTGAGATAGGATATACGGCCGTTGTAAGACATCCAAGACCAAGAAGGTATCTGTTTCTCCTTTGGGTAGGGGATTGGTTCCAGGGAAGACCCGCTGTCAGTATCTGCTTGCCAGAGCAAGCTCCTTTGCAAATATGCATCGAAGATACCGAAGCCGCCTTTTGTATTAAAGGTCCTTACGAGTCGTTCTTCGAGTCCTTTAATGGCAACTGATCGATCAGTCCTCTTTGTGAAAGCGAGTCCAGAGTACTTCTTGTACAAAGTCTGAAACAAGATTATTCTTTCATCCTTGAAATACTCGAGGGCTAGATTTGGAAAGTTGGAGTCGCCTAGAAAAGCAGCCTTTGGGCTTCGACGATGTCTTAGCATTCATGAACGCATTAATGTCAACATTTCTTGACGTACTTTACCAATTTCATCATGCTTTCGCAGTGAATTCCGTTCCCGCACTCCCAGTAAACTTGAGAAGACGTGAAATGAAGAGTACGTCGTGCAAGTGCCCTCTCTTGCAGGACCCATCCGCGATTGTTCAGAGTCCCCTGTTCAACATCTAGATGGAAGTTGTCGATTGACTTACAGATGAAGGCAGTTCCGTTGGATGGAGTTCTGGTGGTGATGAAAGGTCGCGGTTCTCGATTGGGTAACAGGAAGCCAGCCGCGGATGATGTCGCAGAGCTGGCGGCAATGGTGAAGTTGGCAAAACTAAAAACCTGCCCCATGCGAGCAGCCTCAAGTTCCCAGTCTTCGATATCATCTTGAATGATACAAAGTGAATCGATCCAAAGATAACGAAATCCCAAAGCTCTGGTCACATCGATGGCGTGCCGAAAGGTTTTGGGAAGTTTGTCGAAGTCGATGTATCTTTTGAACAACTCAACGTTGTGTTTGAGAGTACGAAACCTTGGTCCGATACCCCAACAGTGACTCAAGGCAACATATTGACCTGTCACAATTCCCTTTCCATCCCGAAGACAGACATATGCGTTTTCTTTGCTGCCAACGTCAAGTAGGCGAGTAGGTAACTTGACCTCAGTGCTGAAATTATGGCTGTGCTTTTCGTCACAGACTCGAATCCACTCCTTAAACAGGCTGTATTGAAAATCACTGCCTATTTGGGGAAGCTGCGGGTATCCTAACTGGGCAAACGAAGGAGCTGAACCATTGTCATCTGTATTGTCGGTAAGAGGCCACACTTTTGAAGAACAGCTATTATCGAGACGAAGTCACTCACTGGGATTAGCATAAATGGATAGAATTGTGGGACCATCCGGATCGATTTTCATCGTTGGCCCTACTCGTCGGCATCTGATATGGTTGGTGTCGTCGAAGCTGGCATCCTTCAAAGACTGATATACGAGGCTACACAGAGAGCAGTTGGCTGACTGTTCGGCAATTTCGCTCACTAGCCCCGCAATGATAAAGCCACTGCTCCAAATATCGGTGCAATGTTTGCACAACTGGGAGTAGAACTGTGTATTCGGTGTTCGGTTTTGGGGGCAAACACGGAAAAATTCTCGTGCGAAGGAGTTGTCATTTCGAGATTCCCAGCGGTCAAAATTCTCAGGTTGCTAGCACCAGAACATCAGTCAGAAATAATATATGGCAACGAATCGAAGGAACTTACGGACTTGAAACTGTCAGCTACACTATGTAACAAGGCTCATGGCCTTTTGCTAACCACCTAAAAAAGCAGCGTCAGCCTTTTATTAATCTTAGATGCGGGGTATCAATAGACAAATGAAATAATCAAAACCGCCGCACATTCTGTCAGCTTCGTCAGCGCGTGATCATCTCGTCTTGTGATCTTCTTGTTAACTCACATACTAGATAGAAACTCGTTAGCTATGTGTATGCATTTACTGATGACATGGAAGGCAAACGTGTTATTAACTCACTTCTTGCGCACGCTCAACACTTATCTCTGGTACATGCAACGTGGCGCCCGCGCGCTCTGGAACACTGGTGTCCAAGTTTTTAGTTGATTTTTCCGCATCGTCGTTGAGTACATCTGGTGCTGTACGAGACGCCAACGATGAGTTACGCATTTTCGGTTGATCAGGGACTTGTAAGGTTATGCTCTTGCTGCCCATCACGACAGTCGACTGTGGTGGTGTAGTGATTCTTCTCGGTAGGTCTTGGTCCAAGAGAAACTTTTCGTCTTTCTCTGCTTTGTTACGGATATCCTCAAACTTGATTTGAAGATCCGCGATCTGTAAGCGGTTCTCCCAGGCGGGCACTAACATACCCTCATCAATCAGGGTCAAGCAGCATTTCAAGGCTGTTCCACTTTTGAGAAACGTTGACATGTGTGTGATCCAACGTCTCACTTCCCAGTGTTGGTGATAGCCATCCTTCTGTTTCTCCCAGAACTGTTGCTCAACGCTCAATCTGATGAAGCTGTCCAAACCTGTCGGGCCGTACACAGCCCATATTAGAAACTCGAAAAAGACACATCCAAGACACCAGACATCGTATACCCGAGGAAGCTGCTTGTCGCGACCCATTTCTGGGGGTTCATATCGCACAGTGCCTGTCTTCGCGTTTGTTATCGACTTTCGTTGTCGGGTAATGTCATTGTGAAACCTAGCGAGGCCAACATCGGCTATGCGGAGAATGCCCCGAGGCCCATATTCTTCGAAGAGAAGGATGTTTTCCGGCTTGAGATCCGTATGGCGACAGTTCTTCTCGTGAAGAGCTTTGGTTGCACTGCAAATACCACAAAGCTGATTGAGGACCCATTTCATGAGCTCACCGTCCTCTGTTGCTCGTGTGGTGGTCCGTTTCCAAAACTCCTTCAAGTTTCCACCTTCTGCCCAAGGAAAGAGGAATGCGCGAAGGTCGCCACTGGTGTAAGCTGCCAATGGAGTGATCAGATGAGCGTGCTTCAACTCGCGGATGATTTGGAGAGAAGTAGCTTCTTTCTGATAATAGTCCTCCATGTCGGCTCGCATTTCTTTAGAAGCGATCCGAATTGGTTTTCCCTCAACCTAGTCAAAGTAATTATAAAAGTTTTAAAGACAGAAAAGGGGAATCAACTTACATTTTGAAGCACCTGCTGATGCGCTTCGTGAATTTCCACCTCAAAAACGGAGCTGAAGAAGCCAATTTTTGGATTTGATTTCTTTCTGACGAGTGGAAGCGGACAATCTCGGTTCAGATGGTAATTGAAGGTGTCCCTAACAAATACTGGTGCAATGAATAGCCATTGGGTTCTTTGAAAGTTCTCCAAGTCTTTATTCTTCCATGTGTCGAATACGTCCCAGAACTGATTTGTTTCCAGCGTCCGAACAGTGTAGCAATACTTATCTTTTCTTGCTGTGTTCTTTTGAATTGTGACTGGCAGGTGCTTGTCCCGAAAACCAGCTTGGCAGAACGCGCTCAATTTGTCATGCTCTTCGCAAAATGTCAACGCCAGAAATAGCTTCTTGGCTGGCTGAGTCCGATCCAAGACATAATCCACAAGAGATGCCGTAGAGATGTTGGACGGCAAAGCGTCACTGTTCTCTTCGAGTTGAGCCGTAACAATCTCCCGGGAAGTGAGGTTGTCGATCGCATCAGCTGAAAGGAATTCCTTGCCATCATAGCTCTTGCAGAAACTAGCTCTTATTCTGTCTTCGAGTCTATGGTCTGTGACCTCAAGGTCTTGGAAAGGTTGTTCTATGGACTTGACAACTTTCTCGCTTGAAGCAGCAGAAGTTGCGGCCATAATTGCGGTAGGGTTTGCGTAGGATTTGCGCCGTAAGCTTGAACCGCCGATGAGCTTCTCAATTGATGCGCCTTCGAAATTTCAATTACAGAGAGGCTCAGGCTGTCGAACGAATGGGTTTCAGCTGAATGTTAGGACTGAGTTATACTATTGGAACCGCTGTCAAGGTATTCCCACCAGCTGTTGAAGCTTGTTGGCTTGTAAATGAAGCCCTAATGTTTTGATGTACCGTTTGAGGGTCGTATATGTAGTCGGAGCTTTCTAAATGGATACAGCTAGCCAGTAATTTCCTGGTCCTCATGGATTTAGTAACTGTTACTGTAGCACACATTGGCTGGACCTACCTTGGTATTTTAGCAAGAACACAATGTTTTCGCGAGTGATAATATCGACCGTATAAGGCTGCTACGCTTCCGGTGCGCAAGAATGAATTGATAGTAAGGAAAAGGGAGCGTTTGTGTTAGTTGGGGTGATGGGGGACCTCGAACGGCCCACAAACACAAAGTTGATGGCCTTGTGATTACCCAAGGCCTGCCTCATTCCCAGAACCGGAAACAATCGGAAGAAATCAAAGAGGGGTTGAGAGACATATTGACCCGTAAGCTAAGCCTTTTGGCTCGAGCTGATGCGCAGGTGCATTTCCATGCTGCAAATGATCATGCTTATCAACGAAATTGCGGCCGAGGGGACCTTCAGCGTCAAGGTTGTATACAGTACAAGCTTACCGAGGTATCAATGGAGGGAGAGCTTGGCTTGCGGTTGGTCAGCCTTGTCCGGATTTGCAATGCGGACAGAAACATGCATGTCGCCAAGAGGTGGGCGATCGAGTCGATTTAGAGAGCCGGAGGAACGATCCCTGACCACTTGGGTCTCTATCACTCCAAACTTGATCTCCAAGCAACTTCTTCTGCCTTACCGACAAAACAGTTTTGATACTATTTTCGAGTCCATGAGCTTCATGGCACCAGTCTCCGGTCATTCCCTCTAGGAAGAGCCACTCAAATACTTCCACTACCCAGCCGATCTGCATACTCCACATGCGCGCGCATTGGCACGACTACGATTTATCACCAGGCCCGCTCATGGCAGAATACAACTAGAAGACTAATAATGGCATTGCAATATGCCACCGCCAAATGCAGCCGCTAACAGGGTATCGGTGCATTTGGTGGTTATGGAAGGCTTTTTCTTTCTCTTCCGAGTCTAACAAACAAACATCAAATGGATACTTCCGCCCTTAATTGCTGCGAAACGATACAGTGTTTAGTCTCATTGGAAAATATCCCACCGATGCAAGATTAGAATGCCCCTACAACACGGGCAATACGCAGTTCTCAGCGGGAAGCCTCGACAAATTGATATTTTCTACTTCTGGGGACATTGTACAGGTGGCGCCCGCGCGTATGATCGCGCAGACTCCGTCTGACCAAAGACGGAGTCCCAGTCTACAGATACCGATTCAACCACTTACATTCCAACTCTTCGGCTCTTTCAAAAGTAATTGGAACCGAGGTGGAACAGATATACGACTTCTTGATTCTCATACCTGACCAGCCCTGGGACTGTAGCATGGCATATCATCTGTCATCGGTGTGGATAGGCTTTGCGCATGATCTAGATCTCAATACTGGGGATATCGATAAGCAGCTTCCCGTCTGTTTCCACAAGTCAAAAGTTCTGACATCTTCAGGGAACAGACTACACATCTGGCCCCAGTACGGATAGGAAGCGAGCAGCATTGTATTCAAAGGGTACGGGTCTTGGGTGGGGACAGATACGTATCGATCGGAGGCTGTTCAGTACATCGTTGAAAAAGTCTTGTCAGACAGTGCATCGTAGCAATACACGAGCGAACCACCTAGAAGTATCGTCAAGCTGTTATTGCAACCTGGTATAAGGATCCCGCGTGATGATTATCTTTGATAGCACCACCAATATTGGATTTCATGGAGGATTTGTTTCTCTATCTCATTCATTATTGATTTGTCGCCATCTCCGCGGTACAACCCAATTCTATCTCAGCTGCTACAATATCATTGTCAATAAACCTTCCGGTTGGTGTCTTATGAATCTGCGCTACAAGCGCACACACGTCGCTGGACCCGAATACTTGACTTCCACGATGCCCAGCGCTAAAGCCTTCAATGGCATAAGACTTGTCGCCCATTATAGCAACTACTTGAAGGCCGTCATCTCCAGTCTTAATATTTCGAATGTGGTAGTTCTTTGGGGAGGGTGTCCGAGATGAATCTCGAGATTGGCGTGTCTGATGCATATTCCGACTGTGGGGCTTATCGTCATTCCTTCGGCGGGGGTTTCCTTTACCAAAGATTAGCACTGAAATCGGCAATATTTATCAACGAGATACCGCTGAGTCACTAAGAGCTTTCTGCATGTTTGGAAAGGGAGCTCATGAGTACGCACTTTTGGCGAGCTTCCGGCTTGCGACCTTTTTCTTTGTTTCAATCACTAGCCTCCTTGTTCGTTCTGCGACTATAAGGTAGGGACCGTGACTCATGGACTGGTACTTGATGAGCCCAGAATGATCTGTGTTCACTGGTATATTATCCTCCTCAGCCATAGTGACTAATCCAGTACATGTGGCAGAATTTCTTGTCACCAATAATGAAGAAGGGCCCGTTTTCTGCCATTGGCCGTCTTGACTAAGCTGCAAACCTTATTAGCACAAAACTTAGCCTCCTGAGAGAGTCCTAAATACCTGTATGGTTGGGCTATGCTCGCACTCGTAGAAGTTCACTACTCGACAATGGCCTTTGCAGAGCTCAGAGAATTGATCGGCAAGTCTCTTCAGAAACGCCGATGGCTCCGAGTCATTATCGACGAGAAGATCATTGATCAACAATTCATTCGGTTTCCCATGAACCAGAGTAGCCAACTGTTCGTTCCGAAGCCCTAAGTTGGGCACCCCAAAAAACAGAAGCCCGTGACAGGTCTGGAGGAACTGTGAGTTCGCGTTGTTGGGCTTTCCATGTGCACGGACGAGTGCCTGTAAAATTAATTCCTCTGCCTCTTCTCCAACTAAGGGTTGTTTCTTACTTCTTTGACGAGCAAACCACCAAGACTGTGGCCTATAAAGACGATAGGACGAAGAAATGTCTAAAAGGGCTCAGTCAAATTGAATCGAATGGCAACGCGGTTCACGTACCTCATCATTTGCCCGAAAAGCAATGATCTGCTCTAACAAAGTGCCGCCGAGATCTTCAATGGACTGCCTAGAGCGGCTGCCCCGAAGCATCGTATCATAGCCGTAGAGAAGAACTCGGATGTTAGGTATATGTTTAGGAAGAAAATCGCGAAGCCAAACTTCATCGCTATTCGGGGATTTCCAGGAGCCGAGCGCGTGGCTTCCGAGACCAGGCACTGCTACAACGCTACGACGAGTCAACACAAATATTGTGATTGTTGTTGGGAAGAATATCAACGCACTCGGCATCAACGCGTTCTGGATCACTGTGTAAAGGCGTGATGCCTTCGAACTTGTGTGTGTAGCTATATGAGGAGCTGGGCCCGGCGTGACGAAGTCTGGCAACCAGGTCGTCTGGAGACAGGGTCGTTCTGAGCGTCACTGTGGCGCACAAAGACTGTGGATCTCTTGACTCTAAAGAGCGAATAGCGAGCGCAGTGACAGCTTCCCGTAAAACCGCGTCATTTTGGACTTTTCCTTGCAAATTACTCTCCACGCGATCTTTCTCAACAGCCGGTATATCATCGATTCGGAAGGTCAGGACTTTTTCCTTTGGTGGCTCTTTGGCGGGCTGTTTAGCCAATTGTTGAAAAAAGGGAACAGCCAGTAGAGCACCGGCCAAAGTGAAAGCTATAGCTGTAAGCAACGCCGACAAAGTGATCATGTTGTGATGTGAAGGACCAGCTGTGCGCTCCGAGACACCATGTGTCGGATCTGAATACCCCTCAGGTTCCGATGGCAGTGCAAAGACAAGCAGGTTGCTGACCGGCTCTTGCGCGTTGGCGGCTATTGAGAGTGTGTAATTGGTCTGTCTTTGTCGGGCACGTGAAACCAAAACTTCAGTTGAATCCCAGCCTCACAACCCATGTCCTCGACTTTCCCTTGAAGTGTCACTCGTTGAACTCGCGTCACAGCCTTAGTTCTTGGGTTACCTACCGATACTACACCCCTTCAGCAAGTTTTTCCCGGCTGAATCGGTATCTAAATAGTGTGCGATGATTGAAAGGACTTTCAGTGTACATTGCATA